CAGTTTTGTTGCCAGATAGAAGGGTAAAGAATCAATTATCATATTTTTACTGGCAAATGAGGTCCCCATAGTGTAGATGCTTGCCCCGAGCTCTCATACTCTGATGGTGCATTGTCCTTGAGTTGTGCGCCTTTTGGCGTCATCTGGTCCAACCCATATGAGACTAGGCTCGAAGGAAAGCTGTCTCGGGTGTGGACCAATCAACTTCAAGGACAGTGCACATTATCAGAGTTATGTTCTTTTGTTTGTATTATGACTGCAGGTATTGCGGTATATGCAAACATGACTCCTTGCAAAAAGGTGTCAGTTTTGTTGCCAGATAGAAGGGTAAAGAATCAATTATCATATTTTTACTGGCAAATGAGGTCCCCATAATGTATTAAAAAGTCTATTTAATTAAGTAGAACGTCTTGTCTATATTTATTTAAAGTTGCGCATTTTATGTGACGTCACATTTCTCAACCCCCCCCCCTCGTCACACATCGTCACAAATGTCTGACCCCCCCTCCCCTCTAGGTGCGTGACGTCATTTATGGACGGTCCCTTTGTAGATCTTTGAAGAAGCGACCTAGCCATAAATGATAGCTCAACGAAGTGGCTCACTACGTGGAAATGTATAGAAAACCAAATACACTAAACGCGTGTATCTAAATGTGGAGGGAAAAACCCGAGTAACCGGAGATAATTCCACGCGACCACAGGGGAGAGCGTGGAAACTCTAACCCACGACCTCCTGTATACCAGGCGAGGCAGTTGACATCTTCGCCACCGTGACGCCCAATGCATAGACATGAGTCGAATACAATTGAATCTTACGCTCACGAGTTAGGATGCACGCGCCGAGACACGCAGGTGAGAGGTGATGATGTATAATGTGTGTAAATCATATACAAACTCTATGCTGTCATGTTATGGCCCATGGAGTAAACAAAACTGTACAAATCAACGTATTGGTTCTTTCGGTAAAGTCACGTAGAATGGAAATAATAAAAGAATAAAATAAAACATAATAAAATAATTCTCACGACGTTTCAGCGTCTCCCTGACAGACCTGGTCTTCACCTGAGGACGGCTGCTTGCGTTGTGGCCGAAACGTCGTGAGAATGATTGTATTGTTTTATTTTATTATTTTATTATTTCCATTCTACGTGACTTTACCGAAAGAACCAAGAAGATGAATCCCTGCAAGTCACGAAAGCTTTAAATCGAAATGTACAAATCAATTCGGGGGACAAAAAGGAGACGAGAGGGTGAAAACGAGACAACTAAAATAAATGTCATGAATTATAACCCAGAGTTGTGGCAATTGAATCAACAGCGGGGGGGGGGGGTATTCAATTGGTTGGACCCACTAATCAATGTTGCTAATTAGGAGAAGATGGCTTTTTCCCGATGAGATCAACTCGCGTGGAGGAGCTCGTTAGGTAGATTGGATAGCATGGCCATGAGAGACTGGTGACGTGTGTGGGGGGGGGGGTGAGAGGCCTTTCTTCATCCAGCAGTGGATTGAAAATGGCTGATCACGACGATGATGATGATGGCTTCTTTTCAACTGATTTACGATTGAGTTCCAGGTCATTCGGAGAAGACACGCACTTACTGCCGTCAAGAGTAAAATAAAACATTCAAGGTCAAACGTCAAACATACGAACCTTTCCTTATAATCATCGGCCATGACCTATCCACTGTGGAATGGTCTCCATAAGTGTATCGGTATTTCGCAAGTTCCGACTCGCTCCCGCACACGAGCCGATTTCATCACTCCATCTCCTCGACCTGCGGATTTCTTAGGTGCCGTTGGCTGTCACACAACTGGTTTGGACCATCATCCGTGATTCCCTTGTAAGCTGTAGCGTCGTTCCCAAGCCCAACTTTAGCCTTCTCAAGTCAACGATGTATCCGTTGTCAAAGAATTACATCTCTAAAATGCATAGTGCCCCATGCCATGCAACGCTGATAGAGCAAGCCCTGAAATCATCGGGGGGCAATGATTTGCCCCATCCGACAATTCGATTGTCGCAATGCAGGACCACGACTCAACACAAGAATCTATTTTAGTTTTTTCAGTTTCTAGTTATTTTTTTGACAGGTTGGCTTTCACGACCAATATTACCCATAATACAGTCTGATGAGGCTGGTTGTAATTACCGGCGAAACGTCAGACTTCAAATGTAAATTATTGCGGTTTACTCTCCAACACACAAGCGGTGTGCTAAAGTAGTAACTAATTGGAATGTTTCGTTTACGTGACAAACCTTACTTATTGGCTGTGTCGAGTTTAACGACACATTTATATTTCATAGCTGTCAACCCATACAATTTACCCGTATTCTTGTACAGGGAGATTTTAGTTTTCAGGTCCATACGGCGTACAGGCGTTTCAATACGGGCAAAAATTACTGTTGGTGTCTATTTGTTTGTGTTTCTCCCTTGTGATGGGACTTTGTAGGATGAACGTTGAGATTTATAAGGGCGCGGGGTGACCAATAAGGTCTGAATTGGTCTATACTAAGGTAGGGCACTGATAAGGGGTTGACAGGTATGATATTTACGCGATCTAACCTAACAAAAAATCCTGATGGATTTCTTGTTTGTGTTTGTACTGTTTTAGATGTTCACTCCATTCGCTCAAATATCACTGAAGCACACCATTTGTCAATGCAGGATTTATGTTATTCCATCCATCGAGATATATATTACGCATACAATTCGATGCATCCGATCCTTCGGTATATTCCATCGACGAATCAATGTCTTGTACGTGTTCAGCCTCGTTATTTGTTTTTCAATCCAATCAATTGCGGACGCAGGCCTTTGCAACTCTGCGCAGGTCGTGTGGATGTTATTGACGATACTTCACCACGCTGGTCAATGCCGAATTCGAACAGGGGAGCACATATCGTGGCAGCATGGAAGTACAGTCTCATAGATTTTGATGCACTGCCCCCCCATCCTCCCATGTTGCCCTGCACGTGGGCCCCCGCAGGAAGACAGACTGACTCCAAACAAAAACTGCTTCGCTTCCAGATCGGTGACATTCCAGATGAGTTGGTCATGGGCGTCAGGTGCATTACACGCCGTTTAAATGCGCACCCCAACTCGCGACATTTAATAAAAACTCAAACAAAAATTTGGGGAGGGGGGGGGGGGGGTAAAGCAACTGAATGACACCAAACTGGTTTCGCCAACATTCTTCGATAAAAATAAACGCGGTCCGAAATTTCCCTTTGTGGTTTTTTGAAACCGCGACTTGCCACGTGCGTGTTTACACACACACACAAAGACACGAACATTGTTTCTCTTTTTTGTTGTTATTGTGCGATTCCAGAACACCTGGTGAACGCGGCGAAGGGCTGGGCGATGCACGCACCCTCCTGTCCGGGCCGTCAGGAACGTTCTCTCATTCATTCTACTCGAGACGATGAATTTGCCCTCTCAAATTGGGGGGGGGGGGGGGGAGCTTCGTTGATTTGGCGCCGTTGAAACGAAAGGCCGATTTAACGTCTCTACAGGGTGCTTCAATAACCAAGCTACATTGTACTGGCAATGCAGTAGTTGATGTTTGGCATCGGCTAAGGGAATGGTTGGTGGCAAACACGACGAAGAGGAAGCATGTGAATGCACAGAGGCCCCCCCACCCCGAAAAACTGGAACAATATCTACAGCAGATAATTCGCCTAATTTACAGATCAGTCCCTCTACATAAAAAAAAAACTATATACAGAGTGCTTAAATTTTTTTTTAACACTTCTAAGAATTTGCAACAATACCACAAGCAATGTGCCTCCGGGCTCTAGAGACCACCTGGAGAAGATTCCAGGGACGCGTTGACAATGATGGCTATTAACATGCAGTACATTTATTATCATGTTACAGTTTATTACCCGTTCTTTTTCCCCATTAAAAACGATAGTCCCATTATAAGTGTTAACATTTTTCTGAAGCACTCTGAAAAACGTACGAGGTGGTTATTCTTGGTCCACTTTGTTCATCCTTTCAAATGCTGGCGGAATTTACGAGGCGCGGGGGGGTTCGTAGGTGAAATGACTCATTGTGAAGATATTGGCAAAGACGCTGCAGTTTAAGTGACGTCTCTGAACCCGTGACTATCAAGCGGTGACAATAACGCCACGCGCCTTGCACGGGCGATTGTGTCGTTGGACCTTTGCGGTCAGCCTTGTTGTCTTCAGCCATGAACAAGCGGGCGATGTGAGTTGAACTTCTTTCGCACCGTACGTAGCCCACCGTGCTCATCGGCGGTGCGGCGGGAGCGCACCAAACTAAACACGCAGAAGAAAAAGCAGTTCTAAAGAAGAAGCGACTTTTCAATCGAGATCAAGTAAAAGTCCACACCTCCAGTGGCTTCCTAAATATGGGAAGAGCGTTCTCCAGACGGCCGCAAGAAGCGCACGATGTACTAAAGTACAACAACAACCAGAGGCTAAACACCCACAGCGGCCGGGGCGTCTGTCTTGGGGTTTCGAAAGTCTGACGGCTTCCTCCTGACGAGCGAAACCCAACACTGGCCACCTGCCTCCTCGCAGTACACACACACAAAGATCCCCCGTGTAGCCTTAACAGACTGTTGGGGCAAGTGCTGTTAGCGAGGAGGCACCTATGAAGATAGGAACAGCAACACGAGGGGGTGGGGTGGCCAGCACCTCACACAACACCGCACCGGGTACTCATTTGAGGCCGAGTCGACCTATCGGAGGTCCAGGACCGGTTCATATAATTGTTACTGGGTGCTGGCCGTGAGCGGGAATCGAACTCGGGTGGTCGGGTTCGTAGCGCAGCACGCTAACCGCCACACTACCGCTCCCCAGTACACATACACATAAAACTACACACACACATAAAACTACACACACACACGCACGTGCACCACGTCAATATTTGCTGCGAACGCAAACACCGCACAGAACCAGACTCGCTCACACCCCCCCCCCCCGACCGTCGTGCTCAGGATCAGACACTTGTGAGAATGACGATGGCGCGTTTCTCGCCGTCTTTATTCCGGTGCAAGTTGATGCGAACGCCGTTCAATAATCTCAACATTTCGCCGCACGGAGTTTCGCAGCAAGGGCCAACCGTGCAGAGAAGAAAACAACCCAGTGGGGAAAAAAAAACATAACATCACCCCGTCGCTGGTATTGCAGGGACGGGGGGGGGGGGTAAGGTGGTTGGGTGATGGCCATAAGCGCACGTGTGAATAAAAGTGGACAGGCCGTGTGTAAAGTGATCGCACGCACACGACCGAGCTGACGATCTCATACCTGTAAAACCCTTATCAGTGCCCGAACCTTATTACAGACCAATTCAGACCTTATTGGTCACCCCGTGCTCCTTATAAATCTCAACGTTCATCTAACGAAGCCCGTCTTGAAACGGTCGTACGTCGTATGGACCTGAAAACTCAATTTCCCTGTACAAGAATCCGGTTAAACCGTGTGGGTTGATATGTATGCGATCCTCTGCAGCAAGGTGAAGACAAACACGTGCCAAAGATTTGTGTTTTTGTTGTCGTGGCTTTGTTACCCAGCTGTGATTTGGCTTGGCGGCAGCACGGGGGTCGAGGTCACGGTGCAGCAAAGATGCCACAATGTGAAACCGACGAACGCGTCATTGAACGCGGCACAAATACCTTCCGAGGGTCAAACAGTAAAAGGCCTCAAAATGTAAAACAAATATTATCTCCAAGGAAAATGTGTGGAATGCTTTATGCAACAACGGCGGCACCAGCAGCAGCGGCAGCGGCAGCAACTAGAGGCGCATTAACAAGCGCCGTAGGTTCTGCACACGCGATGACGATGAAGTCCAACGCCATTCTTGATGGACAAAAGAGTCACACGTGTCAAGAATCCAGAAATGACAACAGGAACAAGAAATTGTCGAGAGATGCTTTTCCCGCCTCTAAGATTAAACTGACAATGTAATCACGTAGAGCCCATGGTAAATAAAACGAGCCGGAGCGCAGCATTTGCCGACCATCCCCCTTCCTCCTCCTCCTCCTCCGCGTAACCTCGGTCGGTCGCGTGGATCGTGTGACCATACTTCACCACGCCGGTCAGTGCGGGTTGGTGGAGGCCCAGGTACTGGGATTCAGAAAGCTGTGGCCGTGAATCGAACTCCGGCTGCTGGGTTCACCGCGCGGTCTGCGAAAACCATTACGCCACCCGCGCTTCCCCAACCCCGAGATTGCTCAATTAAAAAAGTAAACAAATCCTCGTGCGCTTACAACACAATTTAAGGTATCGTCAAATCCGCCCATCTAAAACCGACTTCAATAAAAATGATATTTTTTCTATCAAGTAGAACAGACGTTCAACTTGAATTTTCCTGAGAAAAAATACAAAGTTGTCCTAATATGCAACACTGTTTGTAATATAACACTTGAAACGTATCGGAAACGAAACACTTTTCACCCTTTACGCTGTGGACTTCGGATTGTCGTGCGCGTAGTTGGGCGAGAGGAGATCGTTGGGTGAGGGAGAGACGGTGCTGCATAAGGAAGTCACGCTAAGCACGTTGTCTATAGTCCAGTACTGTGGAGGCAGCGAGAGGGTTGGTGGATCAGATAAATGTTGTAAAACTGTCTTCCCTTGGGCGTCGAGGTGCAATACAGAATGTGGCACAGCACCCTCGCATGCACGGGGTTTTTTTTTCTTTCCGGATACTTTGGTTTCCTCCCACATGTATCAACACGAACTGGCTGAAAACATCTTAACGTAAAGAGAACTGCAGAACAATCATTGGTGCCGGCTCACCACCTGGCAGCGATTCCTCAGCAATTGCGAGGTGCAATTTGCGCGAACGACACAACGTAAAGGTGACGGTTAAGATTTTTTTTTTCAGACCACGAGGGAGAGAAACGGGCGAATCGGCAACCTGGAATTATAATTATCGGCGCTTCACTGCAGTGGCGACGGTGGGCGCAACGGCGAGCGAGTCCGCACGCGCGCAAACGCGCTACACACACTCGGTCATCCGCTGTGCCGAGGGATGACCGAGTGTCTCGCCGGAGCAAGCGCACACGTGTGCGCGTGAAAGCCGCGCGCGCCGCTCTCCCCTCCTAGCGCGGCTCGCCATCGTCGCTGGGGCAGCGGACGTTCAGCAGCACCGACTTGTGCAGTTGGTACAGCTGGCAGTTGCCGATCTCGTCCTCGTCGCTGTACGGCAACAGCTCGTCCGGGGGGATCTGCCAAGAGGGGAGGAGGGGGGGAGGAGGGGGGGAGGAGGGGGGGAGGAGGGGGGGGGGAGGAGGGGGGGAGGAGGGGGGGGGGAGGAGGGGGGGAGGAGGGGGGGGGGAGGAGGGGGGGGAAGCGCTCGAGCATGCACGGTGGGTGGTGCAGGGGGTGGGGGGGGGTGTGGCGGAGATGTAACACGATTGGAATTCAGAATCGGAATGTGTATTTATACTGGAGGAATCCGATGAGCTATGAAGCTCTTTTTCACAGATGTCCAGTAGGGGCGGGGCGGAATTCCGCTGGCTGTCCAGCGCGGCACACACGCGGCGCTTCAAAGGTCCTTGTTCAATGTTTCATCGCAGCTTAAGCAGCTCAACAGATTTCGTTAGCCCCGAAAATCTCACATCGTTGCTGCTGCTGCTGCTGCCTGTGCCTGCCCCCCACCCTGCCCCCACCACCCCCCCCCCCAGCACCACCCCCTCACATTCTCAACACGACGATGCTATCTATCATCGCGAGCAGCCGGCAGTTTCAGCCCAATGGGTCGTCGGCCGGATCAGCTACCTGCCGGAGTGTCGCGCTTCGGCAAGTGACGTCACGCATGTGCACCCCCCCTCCCCTTCTTCACCCCCCCCCTTCTTCACCCCCCCCAGCCCCCCCCCCTCCGTGGACGTGCGCACCCCCCCCACTTCTTCAACCCCCCCTTCTTCACCCCCCCAGCCCCCCCCCGTGGATGTGCGCGACCCCCCCCCCCACCCCATTTCATCCTCACCTGATTCCAGCAGTACGGCGAGTTGTACAAGAACGGCTCCATCGGCTTCCTCGAGTGCTTATTGAAGAAGAGACTGCGCACAACGGGCAGCGGGGGGGGGGGGGGGCAGGCAAGTGGTGCCGCACATTGAGTTGGGGCCAGCGGGCAGGTGTGTAGAGCGGCACGGCACAGGATGGGGGGGGGGGATGGGTCGTGTGGCCAGGGCCAGTTAATCCCGGCTGTCTTCGTCTTCCTCGCGCCGATTGTTTTACACAAGGCTCGGGAAGGACCGGGACCCATCCAGATGTAACGATCGTCACCGACGTTAGCCGTGGCCGGGAATTGAACCTCGGTTGTGGGCGTTGGTAGCACGGCGTGCGTTTACCACCATGCGTGGGACGCCACCAACCATCACGGCGACTACGCACGGCGTCATAAATCAAGACGGCGATCGCGAGCCGCCTTTTTCTTTTTTCTACAGCTTAGGAAATAAAAAGAAAAATCTATCGTGGTCCCTAATGCCTCCAGGAATTACTGCCGTTGCGCCGAGAGGTTACAATGCCATTAAGCATTCAAGGCGATTACCACAAGCTAAAAATAACAACTTGCAGAGGTGTGCCAAGCGATATGTCCCACGGACGTGTTGGGCAGGTTTCAACAGGGAGTGGGGTGAGAATGTGATGCTCTACAAAAGTTATAAATACACAAATATGTGAGGGGGGGGGGGTCATAAAAAAATGTCAGTCCGATGATGCTCTGTCAGAATGTTTTTTTTTTTAATGCGGAGTTTGGGATCTATCGAAGGGAACCTTGCTACTAGAGTTTAATGGCGATATAAGTACGACGGCATTACGTGATCGAAATGCGAATGGTTTGTGTGAACGTGGAAGTCCTTAAAAAGTTCCACTGCCAAAAGTCATGCTTTTGACATTTACGTAATTAAATAATAACCAGGCGAACGAACGTAGACGATTAAACACGTTATATTCTCTCCGTACGCTGCGTGAGGTGGTGCACAACAATTTGAGTACGACGTTTCGCTGGTAATTGCATCCGGCATCATCGGGCAATTCTGGCGAATTGCCCGATGATGCTGATGCTGGATGCAATTACCAGCGAAACGTCGTACTCAAATTGTAAATGTTGTGGTTTCACGCTTCAACACACCGGTGGGCTAAAGCAGTGAACTATTTGTCTTTTGTCAACGTGACACTTTTTTACTGATTGGCCGTGTCGGGTGGTGGAGGGTTACGACACATTTATAAATAACGCGATCGAAACCCAAAAAACGTTGATTATAAATTTTACCGTGGCCATCACGTAATAATTGAAGCTTCAGAGTTCATCAGGAACTGCTGGTGGCTGTGGCATAATACAACGCGTTTCTGTGTTGTTGTTTCAAACTTTCCTGGCCTGCACCGATTATCCTGTTCTGATGGCTTTTCTCATCATTTACAGATTTGAATAATCTCAATGCAGAGTACAATTGAGAAAACACTGTTTTCGTAGCGCGTTTAAAACAATTCCTGTGCTTCCGATGACTGCCCTTATTAGGAGATACGAATGGAAGTGAACCTACACGGAGGAAGTATATTCATCATACATTCTTGTACGCGGCTTTGCGATGTACGAGAGACACTATAAAAAGAAACTACCCGCATGTGAATCGACTTGTCCAAACATGGTCCCAACATGTTTTGGACATGTCTGACGGGTGGCTGCACGTCCGACGTCCACGTAGGCACAGCCGTCGTTGTAGTCGGAGGAAGTGGCGACGCTGGGCGACGCTCGCGTGCCCGATGACGCGACCCCCCCCCCCCCCACCCCCCCGTGGTACGGATCCCCATCCCACGCACAGGTCACCAACAGTCGTGAGCGAGTGATTCTTTGGCACCCATGGACAAGAGGCGACACAGATTGGGACGAACACCAATATCCCAAACGAGCACCTGGTCGGTCCCGAGCCCAATGCAGAACCTACGCCCCCCCCCCCCCCGACCATCGCCGTCTGGGGTCGAGTCTCACACGAAAGCAACGACCGTCCACGTCAAACCAAATGCGCACGTCTCACGGAAGGATCCGTCGACCACGGCATTCGCGAGTGGAAATTCTAATTCTAGAATAGAAGTTTTCGTGACTGCAAGGATCCATACTCCTTGGTTTTTTCGGTAAAGTCACGTAGGTGAAAATTAAAATAATAATACATTTTTTAGTTATTTTCATTTTAAAAATTCTTATTTTTATTTTCACCTACGTGACTTTACCAAAAGAACCAAGGAGTGTGGAAATTCTAAGCAAGCCCGATGGGTGCGCGGTTTGCCCGCGTGGCGAATGAGACATTTAAAGTCACATTTAGAGCCGTGGACTATCTTAAAGGGCGGTGAGGGGGGGGTGCCCATACGTCGGACATCGCGCCGAACGACACGCGGCACAACTCGAAAAGAACACATTGCTGGAGATCTATTTCAGGGTGAGGTTACGAGACGAAGCGTTCCCTCCCCACATATTCGTGAGCCACCAACCCCACCCCACCGTCTTCCTTCGTCACTCACTCGAGCAGGCGGCTCCGTGTGCGTTGCTGCAGGCGGCGGACCGCCACCTGGCTCCACTGCGCCGTCTCCTCGTCCCCCGCCATCATCACGTTGATGGCCATGCGCAGCGAGTTGATCTGAGGCACGGGGGTGGGTGGAGGGGGGGGGGCAGAGGTCGCAATCGGGTACCCGATACCCGTACCCTACCCGATACCCAGCTACCCGTACCCGTTTGTGACCCTAGTGCGGCCGGGTATGGGTACGGGTAGGCTGTGAGTCACTGGTGAGTCACCGTTTGTCACTCATTTCCCAACGTCTTGTCTCTTCTCACAATTCAAGTTCCTAGAATCAACCCACCCGCGCATGCAACATGGCTTCATCCCAGAGGTCGCAATCAGGGTACCCGTACCCTACCTGATACCCGGCCGGGTACGGGTAGACGGGTATCGGGTAGAGTACGGGTACCCGATTGCGACCCTGGTGAGGCCGGGTACTGGGTACGGGTAAGGAATCAAAACCCGTTTGCGACCTCTGGGTGGGGAGGAAGTCGAGGCCATTGCGACACTCCCGTCGCGTTCGTTTCGTAAACGTCCGTCGAAACGAAACTGGAGATCCTTTATGTTTTTGTCTCGTCTTTGTCACGTTTGGCTTCGTTCAGCCGGGTCACAGAAGCCGATGGGACCCGTCGATGGCCTCGTTCGCGAGAGTTACTCGTGTCGCTAAAAACGAGCCGAGAGTTGACTGCATTGTACACATTCGCTTGCGTCGCCTCTGCAATTGTATACATTCTTAAAATTTATATTAATTCCTGGCATTGTTTTTTTTAATCAAACATCCCACGCCCGTGAATTCGTGTCGTCCGTGAGTCAATTGGTTAGTTGACTTCAAGACAGGCCTCTCTTATTAAACCCCACCGTGAAATCCACTGTTGTTTGTGTTGTCAAATCGACACTGTTACAGAGATGCCGTCTAGGCTTCGAATCCTGGGTAAATATTTAAAGCAAAGCGATACAAATTACACTAAACACACTCGCACACCTGCATCTTAAAACCAACACATTAACCTGTTGACTTAGGATCAACCCGACCGTGGAACGGAGGCTGATGAACGCGCAGAGGAAGAAGAGAGACACCGCACGCTGAGAATTACACCGAGAGAGCGAGAGGAACGAATATTCGGGAACTAAATGCCAATCAAATATTATTCAGAAAAGTAGATTTTCTCGTTGATTTTTTTCGGTTAGGCCACGTAACGATCTCGTCGTGTTTTCGTGTCAAGACCCTCCACCACCTCGCACAGTCGAACAAATAAAATTGTCACGTGGTGTACAATGCTCACAACTAAATGTATGGGAATCAGAACCTTTACTTATACTGGAGGAATCCGATGAGCTATGAAGCTCTTTTTTTAATACAGACGTCCAGTAGAGGCAGGTCAGATAGTTACGACAATAAAAATATGAAAACACGATAGGAGTGCAAAGTATAGGAACGGTATATAAACGACCTGGCCACAAATGGTAGCTCAACGAAGTGGCTCATCACGTGGAAATGTATCGCAGCCAAATCATTTAAATAATCTAAACGCAAGCTTCTAATGTGGAGGGAAAAACCGGAGGACCCGAAGAAAAAAAAATGTACGCGACCACGGGGAGAGAGACATGCAAACTCCAAATATACAGGTGTCACAGGGTTGGGATCGAACCCCCGACCTCCTGCAAACCAGGCGAGGAAAATAACATCGTGCCAGATGTGGCGTTTTGCTTGAAAGAACAAGATCTTTGATGCCAGAATAAAAATCCAGCAAGTCAGAATAACCGCATCACTTGCCATCGGTGCCACGACTAGATTAGATTTGAACTCAATATTACCCATTTTTAATGCCGTGCAATCATTTTTGTCGAGCGGCAGGTACCATGATGATGTCGTCCATGTCGAAGGAAGTATCGAAGGTGATCTCCATGTCATGGTCCGTGAAGATGGCCTCTCCCGTCTGGGGGTCCCAGCCCAGGCCACACAGAGCCCCCGTGTAGCGTGACCTGCTGTAGTCCCGTCTGTTACGGGGGTGTGAGGGAGGTGAGGGGGGTGAGAGGGGCGAGGGGGGGGAGCGGTGGCCGACTGGCGTCACACGCATTTCTTTTTTTAAATCCACCGCATGCGACTCTATCGAAGGGATGTAACGTAGAGCGTAACCATCACAGGAGTAACAAAGAATAATTAATGTCTCCCGTGCTGTGCCGAAAACTGTCAATATATATGCACTTATATATACACACACACCTGGCTCTTTGCAAAACTCATGGGGTACTTCTTTGGCTCTGTTAGAGGTTGGTTACCCCTGTGCTAGAGGATCTCTACGAGTGGAGGTTCCAGAAAGTCCCTCTGAAAGGGTAGTTTGGCCTACTCTTTCACGCCGGCCAGACATCTTGGAAGAAGTGGGAGAACTTTATCCCACACACGCGAACTGCCGATCGACCAACAGTGGCTTACCCAGCTATACTGCTGAGCGAAGAGGCATTTAAGACTTTCGCACCATTGTTTCAAACGACTGAACCGGGTGATTTCTGTATTACAAGCCAAGTGTGCGAACCCATGACAGAAAAACTCTGCGAGTGCGAGTCGTCGATCGGGCGACAATGCACACGGAGGAGTCTTGAAAAAGTTTCCTCACAATGCTTTCCCGTAATGTATCTGCAGACAATCTTTGCACAGACAGGTTCCTGGAGACAGGTTTGCTCGTGTCCCCTAGGCTTAATAAGCCAACACGAACGGACGACACCTGTTCCAAAGATACTTCCCTAATGCCGCTGCGTGCAGATGGAATAATAAATGATAAAATGCGGTAACTTGCTCGAACGTGCTTTCAAAGTACAGTTTTGAGAAGCTGTTCCGTCGACGGTGAGAACCTCCCGCACCACTGCAGGTAACCAAACATTCCTCGACACTTTGCTGGCTACGCGCGACGAATTCCGATTTTAATCGAGCCGATAATATTTAGCTCTCCGATGTGTACTGCATAAGGGTTGTTCAGCATGCCCCCCCCCCGCCACCCCACCAGTGTGATGTAAGCATTTGTTGCTTATGTCAGGACTGTGCTTGTATCTAGCTTCAAGTGTGCTATTTTTGAATACGTCAATAGCAATTGTCTTAAACGGTATATTTACGTCGTAATTTATTTTTTGGCGAGGCCATGCGGTAGTTTAATTGCCACTATTCTCATCATTAAGCCGACAACACCATTCGTTTCCAAGTTCACGACCTGGCAGCAGCTCATCGCAGGGCTGAGGGAAATGCCTCCGCAAGTCGATGTGAAATTCGGTCGTGGAAATTCCTAAGTCACCGGGGGTGAGAAGCTTTATCGGTCGCACATTTTCACCAAGACACATCGGCGCGTGTAAATAATAACAATATCGTGACCATCTTGTCGGCTGGTGGAGGGTTAACGATGAGAATTTTGGCATAGAAACCACCACCACGGGGCCCTAGCCAAAAAAAACGTGTGGATCAGTCGCTGTCTTAAGGAACAACTCGTCCCCAACCATTGGAATGTGGAATTTCCCACCACTGTCTCGGTACAGCAAAACAGGATACAAAAAGCAGCAGAAGGAAACTACTTTGAATACGAACGCAATTTCCTCAAACTAAGGCATCCACACACCCGCCGCCTTGGTGCCGAGATGCGGAGAGTCGCCAACAAAACACAACTGTCACCCCCCCCCCCCCACTTCACCCCACCAGCTTGAAATGTCTGGTCGCCGAGGTTACCTCAACTCCATGACGGGTGTGAAGATCAGGCACAAAATGGCCGGCAGGCCGTGGATCGAGGGCATCAGCGTCGTGTCACGCAGCAGGATAGTCGATCCTGTCGACGAGCGACAACGTTACACAACAGCGAAAGTATTAAACTATTTTTGTATTTTACGATGTAAGGCCCACTGAGCTATGTAGCTTTTTTTCAGAAGCGACACGGCTATCAAAATTGAAAGCTCAACAAAGCGGCTGATCACGTGGTAATTCAGAGCAGCCTAAGAGTCCGACGCGCCACGTTGTTTTTTTCCTCGCGACAGAACCCGAGCCCGTGCCGCCTACTTCGCGCGTTCAAGCGTACAAACCGACTCCGAAAACGATCGAACCGTACGCCCTGGTCCTGTTTGGCCCCGAAAAAAATTCACACGTCTTCGCGAGGCCCAGCGAACATTACGCTTTGGTTCAGTGGAAAAGCGCCCGTGCTGAGGGGAGAGCCTGCTCTTGGCTAGGCTTGGAAAAATTAAGTCTTTGGGCTCGGGGTGGGGGAGGGAGGTCGCGGTAGTGTAGTGGTTAGAGCGCTGCGCTATGAACCGGGCGACCCGAGTTCGATTCCCGCTCCCGGCCAATAGCAGTGACGTTAATCTGAACCGGTCCTGGGCCTCCCCTATGCCGACTCAACCTCAAATAAGCACCTGGTACGGTGTGTAAACATCGCCACGAGGGAGACAAAAGGGGGGTGGGTGGGGGGGCGGGCGCCTGGTACCCGATTGGTTGACGTTGACGGAGGCGGCAACCAGGAGCCGATCGTGAGAGTCCTGCGGCTCGTCGTTGACCGCCACGGAGTTGACGCTCATGTTCCCCACGCGCACCGACCTGCGCGCAAGTCACACCCCGGCAAACCACGTCAGGGGTGGTTCTTCTCCAGCCGCGAACGCAACTCGCCCGGAATACGAGTTCACAGGAAATTGTGCAAAATGAGGTGAAATATTGTGTACGAATTGCGAAATACAAAGTCTTGTTGCCCTGTTGTTGAAATTAATATAATCCCAAACCGATTTTTGGGGAGAGACCACATAACGATCCGGTCAAAATTTCTGTTACAAGGCCCTCCCCCCCCCCCCCGCCGCCTGACACAGCCAAACATATTAAATTGTCACGCGCTGCACAAGCGTTTTAACGACGCGCGAAGTACGATTGTTTCAGCTCACTCGCAGACAAATATAGCAGTTGGATACAGCGACGATTCGCTTTAAACTATGCCAAGCATCTTTTATTTGTACACTGCGTGATAATTTAATTTGCTTGGCCACCTCGTTAAGCGTTGGCCTCATCTAAAATAATTTATTGCGCATCTTTAGATTGGCTGCGAAAACCTACGCGGTCAAGTTATACCTAACATCGCATCATCAAAAATAACATTGCGGCCAAGCCCGGTTTCTCAGCTACCTCAGTCGGCCCATGTTGGTCATGCTGCAGAATCTCATCTCGTAGGAACTTATCGGCCCTTGCAGCACCTGGGAAAGAGAGAACTCCGTTCACTCCAACACGCGGTAAAGCATTTTCTTTGTCGGTATTCCCAAGTATGGGTAATTTTCTGACAGGGCAGATCGGTTCAGAGTCTGTCCTCTGCAAAAAATAACAAAAAAATCTCTCGAGTGGATTTTGCTAGATAAGCCTGCGTGTCAATACCAAGGCCACTTCTAAATACAATACAACCATCGTATATTTATCGGTCACAGATCTGCCCTGACAAATTAGCCGACCACAACCCAGTGCAGTATTCGCGCGTGATGGTGTAATGGCCATTTTCTAAAGATGTTGTTCACATATCCGACCTTGTCACATATCTGCCTTCCCCTCCAAAGGGCCGCTCAATGCATCTGAATCAAACTTTGAATTCTCAAGAGCCAGAATGAGACGAACCCAAGTGAAAAAAACAAATGTAATATAACACCCTTCTTGGTTCTTTCGGTAAAGTCACGTAGAAGGGAAATAATAGAAGAATAAAAATAAAACATAATAAAATAATTCTGTGAGAAATTTGTTTTTTATAATTCTGTGAGAATAATTTTATGTTTTATTTTTTATTATTTTATTATTTCCCTTCTACGCGACTTTACCGAAAGAACCAAGAAGATGAATCCCTGCAGTCACGAAAGCTTTAAATCGAAATATAACACCCGTAAAGGTAGGACGGCCGCTTAGCTTTGTCACTCGAATCCCAACTCTTATCGACTCGCCGGCGCACGTCTAAAAATCTGCTCGTCGTCCCCAGAACCCACGGCCATCCCTGGATGGGCGGCGGTTCTCCGAAGCTGCACGGGCAGCCATCTGGAACTCTCTCTTCCACTGCACATCCACAGCAGCAGCAGCAGCAGCATCCAAGCACCATCATCCGCCTTCATGTAGCAGCTCAAGGCACTCGACTGCCCAGGCTCTTACCCATTCAGGCTCTCACCTGTCCAGGCACTCATCTGTTCGGGCTTAAACCTGTCCAGGCTCTCACCTGTTTAGGCTCACCTGTTCACGCTAACCTATGTAGGTTCTTATCTGTCCAGCCTCTCGGCTGTCCAGGTTCTTACCTGTTTAGGTTCTCATGCGTCTAGGTTCTCATGCGTCCAGTTTCTCACTTATCCAGGCTCTCACCTATTTGGGCTCACCTGTCTGGTTTCACTTATTCAGAATCACCTATTAAAGCTCACCTATTCAGGACCTCTCCTGTTCAGGCACTCTCATGTTCAGGCCGAGTACGAGGGACTTTTTGATGCCTGGCTCCACGCCTTCCGGGTTTTTGATCAAACAACGTGTCCGATTCGCGAAATGCGTGCACATTACAAACATTGTTGGTTAAGATTATTATCACGCTGTATTACACTGGTAATACGTGCCAGCTGTTATCGACTGGATAATAAAATAATCTATCCCAGTTACTCGATCACGATATATAATGTCCGTACACCAAGGGGCAGCGATAAGTTGTCGCGGTTGTGCTGCACAGTGGGGCTCTGCGATGTGTTTTCGGTTCGTGTTGTTCTGTACCACGTCCGTCGTTTCGCTCCACGTGCTGGGTTCCGCTTCAGGAACGGAACGGAGCAGCTCGCGTTCTCCCTCGATTATAATCATTATTTTTGTTTTATTTCACCACGTAAGGCCAGAAGCTAGAGAGTTATTTTTCCGAAGCGTTCCAGGCCACAAATGATGGTTCAACAAAGTGGCTTATCGCATTGACATTTCTAGCAGCCAAATACTCTAAACGCATATACTGTTGCAGGCCACTGTTGGTGTTTTATGTAGGTCCTAGTACCATATCAGAGTGTTTGTAAAAAGATTACAAAAAATATTTTTTTAAAGTTCGAACTGACCCAACAGAATCCCTGATGCAACCGGGATTCATAAAGCATCTAAATACCACTGCCGCTCAACACTGCCTCTGTCCACCCAGCGGTTATACAAGTGGCACCTTGTAAGAAGGCATCTTTGGAAGAGGTGGGTGGGAGTAACCACACTTTACCCCACATCCTTTGATACTGCAGGTGGACAGAGTGCAGGGGAGACATTTAAAAGCATGCACGGTGCACCATCGGGTCTCAACGTATTGCGCCGGGGAGAGAACGATCCGGACCGGCGTGCTACCTTCTGAATTCCAAGTTGAGTAGCGCACTAACCCCCTCCCCTCAAACCGCTGTGGGGCAGCAGCATCCCGACCGGGAGAGCCCCGGATAAAATGACGTCCCCCCCCCCACCACCACGGTGCTGCATCACGCACGCGATGAAGGCTCGACGCTGACACGGAGCGCATCGAGAAGTTGTCCACGCCGTCCACCATCGGTCGTGCCGCCACCTCCGGGTAGGCCCGGACGTTGCCGACGTTGACGGGGAACGTGCCCTCCAGTAATTCGTGGTTTTGCTGAAAGAAAAAAGAAAATGCCGGACAGGTCGCCAAATCGGTCGATCAACGCGCGGCACTTTATTCCGTGCATTTCAGACGAGAGCCCATGGTCCACCCCTACATCGCATCCGCAAAAAAACATGGCACGTGCGGAAAACCTGATGCACAAATGGGAAAATGTAAAACTCTCCAGTGTGCGACTGTGGTCATCCAGAACAGACCGTAGCAACGTATAACGACGCTATGCCCCGATCCACGAATACAAAGAAGACATCACAGCGATACGCTCCTCCGCTGCTCCTGACGCGGTTATTGGCTTGACCACCTGAATGTGAAATTTTAGTTGTGGCTCTGCATCTACATCAGCAGCCGTACGAACGGAGATGAAGGCGAGAGCCGACCGTTGCGGCACAGAGAGAGAGCTGGCATGAATATGTAGGGATTTGGCAAAGGTGCAGGGCATCACTGCTGGCAAAAGGACCCCCCCCCCCAATAGAGGGAGGGCTAGAGAGACCTTCTAGAAGGTATTTTGGCGTAATTTTCCACGCTGCCCAGGTGTCAGGTGGTGAGATGTTAACTACCTTGCCTGGTACACAGGAGGTCGTGGGTTAAATCCCAAGCCTGACGCCTGCTGTATATTTGGAGTTTGCATGTTCTCCCCGTGGTCGTGTGGATTTTTCTCCAGGTCCTCCAGTTTTTCCCTCCACATTGAGAAATGTGTGTTTAGAATATATGGGTGCGAAAATTTCCACATGATAATAAGCAACTTTGTTGTGGTAAAAGATAAACGTTTTAAAAAAGTTTAGTTTAAATAGTCTTGGAAGATATGGGAGTCCCCACACTTTAGCCCACCACACGTGACCTGCCCACCGACTCAACTGCGGTGGTGTTACCCATTTATACTGCTGGGTGGACAGAGGTGGTGGTGCTGGTGGGGGAGGGGATTAAAAAAACTTCAACTGCTTCGACTGTTTCACCGGGAGATGAAATCGGTGACCTCTGTAAAACAAATTATTTAAATGGAATGTAGCATCGATGCAAACATAACACAAACATCAAACAAGCGGCATTTAATTATGCAGGAAAAACTACTGGGCGTGTGTAGATGTGCATCGATTCGTCGTTTAATATTCATTCTTGTTGTCCTTCCACCGCACCTCCGATTAGCGCGGCTGGCTTATGTGCAGTGGCGAAAGACGTTCAACGTACACGCATACATGCATAACCACACACGTGAAAATGTTTTTTTTATCGTAAAGCTCGCACACGTTACCACGTGATTTACGTGAAACTTGCAGCCACTGGAGGCGCGCGTTTGAGAGGGCCACTGGATTCGATTCGTGAAGCTCTGCAGGGAAAAGATAACTTGGGGGGGGGGGGGGGGGTGGAAGGAACATGCCTACGCAATGGCACTACTTTAACCGAAATGCAGTACAGCATGAGCGGATCCCTCGAGAAAAAAACCCGAGATATAAAAAAAATCAAGAAGAGATCAACTCCCCCTCTTGGATATTAAACGCTTTAGACTTGGCTTCGCAAAACGTAAGAATCCTTCGCACGCCAACGTTGCTGTAAAAAGCTTCTCCGGATCCGCCGAGGTACCGCGCGCTTGCGACACCGGTCCTTTCTCCAGCGGGGTTTCGGCAGGCGCCGTGCCGCGCCTGCCAATCTGCCGGACGGGCGTCGAGCGGAGGAGTTGAAGGCGCGACGGAGAAAGAGCGAGTGAGAGAGAAAGCGGCGACGGGCTGCCTGCGGACAGCGCCTCCGCGCGCGGTGACCCTCCGACGGGAGGGCGGGTGACCCTGGTGTTCGTTAATCCTCGCCGCCGCGCCCGGCTAACGTTATAAACCCCCGCGCGTGGCAGGTTCATGTTGCGCCGTACGTCAAAGAGTTTCAGGCGTGACGCGCATCGTTAGCGAGCGCGGCTCGTGGATGGACGTGGCGAGCGGCTCGTCCGATTCCTGTGAATGCAACCCAACGACAGACCCAAGTCTCAAAAGGAGATTGCGGGCAGATGTTTTAGCAGACAAATACCATTTTGCCGCTTTATTAAATTGAGAAATGTCTCCAGATATTTTTTGAGAAATGGATACTTAATGCGTCCGCGTTTGCGTATAACGAGAGATAACAAGTAAAAAGAAAAGAAAATTGCGTGCAGAGGATATGAAAACGCAGCTTAATGGCATAAAACCGTTCAGAAAAAGTAAGTAGGCCTGGGCAGGAGAAATAATGGCCGATCAAAATAATGATGGACTGGCAGCAGAGGAGATGGAACGTCCGCCGCGGAGACGGAGCGATTGAAGCAGCTCGCGTGCAGCTGCGAGGCTTGGGAGTAGGGGACTTCATCCAGAAGTGGATAGACCACGACCAGCGATCGGCAAACCTGCGGCTCCTTGAGGACCGCTTCGTGTCGTTATTTTATTAAGGACCATCACCGTCTCGTATTCACATTGCACTGCGGCTAGTTTTTTTTATTCGAAAAAAAAACCGGCTCTCATAGCTATTTCAGTTGCCGACCCCTGACCATGACCGACGACGATGATATAAAATTCTTCAACTCAACGTCCTCGAGCGCCATTTGTGACTCTATAAACCCGGCAGCGATGACGCACACATTATGATCCCGTGCTGCTTTCCAGCCCGGCATGACCACTACACCCCTGCGGTCCGATTATCGCCGTGCTCCGGGGCATAACAATGAGCCAGCCAGCAGGTGGTGGTTAACAATAAAACGACGGCGACCAGAACATAGACGAGAGTTCTATGGCCACACTCACGAAAGACAAAGATCCCCCGTGTAGCCTTAACAGACTGTTGGGGCAATTGCAGTTAGCGAGCAGCACGCATGAAGGCCGGCACGGCGCACGAGGGGGTGGACGGCCAGCACCACACCCGACCGCCTTTGTTTCCTCAATGGCGATGTTTAACCACCGCACCAGGTACTCATTTGAGGCTGAGTCGACCTAGGGGAGGCCCAGGACCGGTTCAGATAATCGTCACTGGGTGTTGGCCGTGAATCGAACCCGGGTCGCCGGGTTCATAGCGCAGCGCTAACCGTGACACCACCGCTCCCCACAACACACACACACACGCACACACGTACACACGTGCGTCACAGTGAGCGATGGCCCTTGGCAGTGGCTCGCAGTGTTAAAGTAATCGGCGTTTTTTTATTTTAGTCAGAGCCTCAGGCTAGTCGACAACGACAACCTGCAGAAATTTAGTCAGGCCTCAATGTGTGGATTTAATTTACTAACTCCCTTTGTCTCGGCGACTAATGCATTGTCACATACTCTTAATTCTTAAGACGATGATGTGACGGGTGCACAGTTTCCACCCCCACCCCCTCCCCCCCAAACATTATTGGATCATCCAAGAGTGAACTAAATATATATTTTAAAAAATTTCAAACGAGTGCAAGAACCTGTCGTAGAGAGATGCAGGGCCAATCAGAACATTCCCTTCCCGCCCTGCAAGGGGAGTGTTCCGATTGGCTGGCCGACACGTGGCCTACAGCCAATCAAAAGCATTCTATGGGTCAGCCAGTTGGTCGTGGAGTCGAACAATTCCTTCATATTGATACGGCCAATTATCAGTTTTGGTATTCCACAGTGCCCCGCAGCCTCGAAATAACGTTACTAAACAACCTTAGTCTGCATCTTTATTCAAACTCGTACATGTTTTTTTATCACTTTAGCCTTTCGCGGGTAGACCTGCCCATCGTCACGTGACCCTCGACGAACACGCCCACTCACTGTCCAAGTCGCAACTTTTCTCGAACCGCTTTCTGTTTGTTTAGTTTGTTGTCCTTCCCACTGCACCTCCGATTAGCGCGGACGGCTATGTACGGTGGCAAAAGAAGTTCAACATACACACACACTCACAGACACCGTTGCCGCCTTTAAAATTAAAAAGACACCCCTACGAAAGATCGTCGTCACGAAATTCCATCCCCCCCCCCGCCGCCGCCCCGCCGGAAATCCACGCTCGGTCGCGCTCACCTTCGACTCGAAGGCCTCCTCGGCGGGCTCGGCAAACCCCAGCTCCACCATCATCCTCCCCACGTCCGCCGGCTGGCTGGGCACCGCGGAGCCGGACGCCGCCGCCGCCGCCGCCGCCCCCTCCAACGGCCTGCTGCCGGACAGCCTCACGCGCAGCACGCCGTGCTCCATGGAGAAAACCTGCGCGCTCCGCACGAGCACCGCACGCGCCGTCATCGCCGCCGTCGCCGAGTCACGCGACGAACGGCCGCCGATTCCGCTTGGCTCGGCAAGCGAGGACTTAAGGAGGATTTATTCATTGTCGGAGAGCACCCAAGGTATCTGAACCGGAGTTTTTGCCGGGTGCGACCTTAGTCTCTTGGTGCAGGCGGGGTTGTAGCAGGGGGGCGAGGGGTTATATAAACTAAAGTGAACGAGCAACATCCGTTTCATCACGAAAAGATTTCGCCGATTACTCCGAATAAAATGTATTTATGTACGTTGAACTTGTTTCGCGCCGTACGTAGACAACCATGCTCATCGGAGGGGGTGAATGCAAAACCCATAGGTAACCGCTGGCGAAAAAGGGCAAGGTAATGGTAAAAACAAAGCACCTGCCCAATACCTTTCCAAGTTGCAACTACTGCATTGCCATTTGGAAATCCGTCGATTGGTGTGCACACGTACACATGTAGAGTACTTTCCTGTCAATCCACCGCTATTTGACGGCCTATCTACGCCTTGCGGGCCCCCCCGTGAGATATCTGACCATGCTAGACTACGGTGGACAGTGCGGCTTGGTGAAGTTTGGTAATTTTGAGTGCGACGATGCATCGATTCATTAAAATCTACGCCAGGCTCATCGTTACATGCATCGAGTAACGTGTGTCCCGAGATTTTTTTTTTTATTAATTTTTTGTTGTTGTTGTAAGTCGTCACCACTGTGGTCACTAGAGGCGCTACCGTTCACTGCAACGTAAAAAATCGAATCGATTGGCGAATCGAATCATGACAGATTCATCCGAGCGCTTGCTGTCCAGCTACCGTGGTGTCAGATGCGACAAGTCCTACCGCTTGCCAAATCTATTGACGGATGAGTGCCTGTAATCACAAAACTTCGCAATAGTCCTGTTAACAGATTTTTCGCTATAATTTTCAACGGAGATACTTTTGAGGGTCACACGAGAAGATACAAATACATTTTAAGAAATTCAACTAAAAATGTAAATTATATCTGCCTGCCTTTGAATTCACAGCGTCATTTTTGCATCACATGCAAATGCCGCACACAAAGGGCGAGAGAGCGGGAGAAGATGATCGCACGGGCGTCGTTTTACAAACGGCCAAACGAGGGGGTTGGTTGGTGGGTGGCCGCAACACCACGTCCCGGCCACCTTTTTCTCCCCAGTCGTGAAGTTACAGTAAACCCTCCCCCTCCCACCTGCCCCCCACGCCCCACAAACACCCCACCTCCCCAACTAAGACGACGTGCCGCGCACCTGCATGAAGAAGTTCTTCTCCAGCGTCTGCTTGCTGAACCAGCTGCGAGCGTCGGCGCTCCAGCTGCCTCCGGCGGCGATGCGCGACAGGGCCGAAGGCCGCACCTCGCACAGCATGCACTCCATGGCCTGCACGCCAGTAGAGGTGGGGGGTGGGTGCCTGGCAGTTCACGCGGATTCATAACCCCCCCCATGTGCGACGCGCCCAGCGTGGCAGTTAACGCTTTAAAAAACACCGATCTCCCGGCACGTCGGGTTTATACTTTGCCCGCGTCTTATCCTTGTCCCACGCCTTTAAAAAAATACTGCTGGGGGCGAGTGCTGTTAGCGAGGCACAAGACGGGGTGTGGGTGGCCAGGCACCACGCCCGGCCGCCTTTGTCTCCCCGAGCGGGCGGTGTTTATTACACCAAGACTTCCGAGCTGAGGCCTGGGACCGGTTCGGATAGTCGTCACTGCTGTTGGCCTTGAATGGGAATCGAACTCTTGTCGCCAGGTTCGTAGTGCAGCGCACTAAACGCTACACAACCGCTCCCCACAATCACACACAAAAAGACAAAGATCCCCCCCGTGTAGCCTTAACAGACTGTTGGGGCAAGTGCTGTTAGCGAGCACCTCTGAAGGCTGGCACGGCACACGAGGAGCTGGGTGGCCAGCACCACGCCCGGCCACCTTTGTCTCCCCAGTGGCGATGTTTGCAACCCACACCAGGTACTCATTTAGCTGAGTCGACCTAGAGTACGCCCAGGACCAGTTTGGATAATCATCACTGGTGTCATCATCACTGGCACAATAACACACACACACACGTCACGTCGCATGGCAGGACCTGGAAAGGCATATCCTTCAGGTCCTGGGGAAGTTCCTTGAGGTCCTGCAGTGGGATATTCCTCGTGTTTCCAAAGTCCACAAAAAACACCTGCAGGCAGCGGAGGACAAAATCGCTCAACGCGGCAGAGTGGGCGTGCGACAATGCGCCGTACCAACCCCAGCACTGCAGCTATTCGCTGAGCCACTGCTCGTCATTGCAAGGCCCAATGGCAGCCCCCGGGCGGCCTTTAGTGCGGCCCCTGACGCGCCCCCCCCCCCCCCCCCCCCCCCCCAATACACACATTTTGAAAACACCTCCCAGAATCATCGTGCTGCCAAATCGGATTTTTTAAATGTGATGCTGATGTCTTATCGGTGGAAGTGCCCCCCCCCGCCCCACTGAAAATTTGTATTTGAGTATTTTCAAATACCTTGGGAAAAATGTCCTCAAGTGTCATCACACTGGTACTCGAGATCAGCACAGCTAACACGCTTGCTGCGAGGGATACGTACAATTTGCAGGCAGTTTCCAAGTGGTCGTGGGCCCTTAACTTGAGGGCCGTTTCCAGGTCGCAGACCATCGGCCGCCCACCTCTGGTTTAGAACTTTGTTAAAGGTCACCTCAACCCTTCATTAATTCAATGGCAGATATACAATGCTAACTTTCAGCGCCGTGACCGCTGGATGAGAGCCTACCCAAGTCACTGGTCGTCATTTGACCATACTTTCCCAAGCTGGTTCAGTGGTGGTCGGTGAAGGGGAGGCGGCGGTGGTCCAGCACCAGTTCAGATATATCACTCTCCCAATGGTGTCAGCCGTGGCCTGGAATCAAACTAGGAAGGAGTGGGGAATGGGGGCCATGGCGTGAGGCTGGGTGCCGGGCGGCACAGTGGAGGGCACAGCTGGTGCATCATCTGCCAGTCATCTCAGCTAGCCAACCCACGGCACCTGGGACTGTCCCGTGACCTCCTGTCAGCGAGCCTTCGACCTGGGCCTATCGCGGGCGTCGTGGTGACGTCACCGTCACTTAGTGGCGAACGGCGAGTGTTGGGGCAAGGGGGAGGGGGGCGTGGGGGGGGGGGGGCATCGTGATGCTGATTAAGACCTCGACGGTATGGCTGTTGGGCAGGCGCATGACGCGGGCACGGTACAGCTCCTGGCTCTTCTCGTCCGGGTACGGCGAGAGGCAGAGGTCGCCCGGGGATGGCAGCGCCATCAGCGGCCGCTTGGGCCGCTCCCCGATCAGCTCGGCGAGGTGCTGCACCTCCTTCGAGTTGTCGTCCACCTTCTGCGCGAAGAAGTGGCCCACGTCCAGCACCTGTGCACGCACGACCACGACCACGACCATCAAAGGCCACGTAACTCGGGGTGGGGGGGGCGGGGTGGTCAGTCACGCAGCTGAGATTATGGCAGTGTTCTTGGTTTTTTTCGGTAACGTCACGTAGGTAAAACATTTTAATTATTAAAAGTAAAATAAAAAGAAAATGTCGTCATTTTTTTAACTTTTATAAATTTTAATTTTATACCTACGTGACTTTACCGAAAAGACACAAGAATATGAATCCTTGCAGTCACAAAAGCATCCGTGTGGAGCTCCGACGTGTTCGCGGTTGAACGGACACCGTCCAGAGCTAAGCGCATCGAACAGAATCAAATTGATTTATACTGGAGGAATCCTATGAGTTATAAAGCTCTTCTTATATAGATGTCCAGAACAGTTCAGCCGAAGGCATGTTTATTTTTTCACAAGCGCGGATCATCCACAACCCGGGTCAACTCGGGGTGGGGGGGGGGGGTGGGGTTAATAGTTCACAAAATTTCTGCTAACTGGATCAAGGGAAATGTTCCTGGCAGTCGGTCAAGTACTTCACTGCGCTTTTCCTTTCGCGATCCTTTTGGCGCTGCCGTGCTAACAATGTGGCTTGAGTCGCCGAGCGCCAAGATTCTGTGCTGCGAGCCGGTCTCGTGCCAACCTCTGTGATGAAGACCATGAGCCAAAAGCCCGCCAACGTCTGGGTCTTCTCCATCAACTTCTGGCTCTGTATGTCGCAGCAGAACCTGCACAACAAAGACGAAGATCCCCCGTATAACCTTTACAGACTGGAGGAGCAAGTGCCGTTAGCGAGTGGCACCTATAAAGGCCGCCACGGCACACGAGGGGGTGGGGGTGGCCAGCACCATGGCCGGCCGCCTTTGTCTCCCCAGTGGCGATGTTTACACACCGCACCGGGTACTCATTTGAGGCCAAGTTGACCTAAGGGAGGCCCAGGACCGGTTCAAATAATCGACACTGGTGTTGGCCATGAGCGGGAATGGAACTCTGTTCTTTTGATGTTTTACCCACGTGACTTTACCGAAAAAACCTAAGAATATGAATCCTTGCAGTCACGAAAGCTTCAAATCTAGAATGGAACTCTGGTCACCGGATTTGTAGTACAGCGTGCCAACCGCTACACTACCGCTCCCCAGAACCTGCAAATACAAAGATCCTCCGTATAGCCTATACCAGACTTTTGGGGCAAGTGCTGTTAGGGACCGCCTATGAAGGCCGGCACCACGCCCACACACACACCCGGAACACGAAGCGCTCAGCGGAGACTGCCTCCCCTTGGGTGGGCATGTACTAGCGGTTGGTTGGCTAGTTTGTTTGGATTAGAGTCAGTGATACAGATAGTCGTAGTAGTGACTCATTGGCTTAGGTTAAAGTCAATGAGAGGGCCTATACGAGCGACTCACTTGCCAATTTGTTGGAATTAAAACAGTTAGATGGCTCGTACTAGTGATGGTTAGCTTGCATGTTTAGGGTCAGTGATAGGGTTGGTACGAGTGAATAGCTTATTCGGGCTAAGATCAGTGACAGAGCTAGCATCTGCGGCTTTTTTCGAGTTCGTTAACATGCGATCAATGAGAGGGCAAGCACGAGTAACTGGTGTGGTTAGTTATGGTGTAGAGGGTAGGCCTAGCATTTGAGTGGCATGTTTACCCAACCCACAAATGACTCGCCACTTGCATCCCCCACTGCGATGCAATGGCCTTGTCGGCATTTGTCCTCTGTCGTCCACCTCGCCAGGAGGTCGTGGGTTGGATCCTGCCGACCCTGACGCCTGCTGTATATGTGGAGTTTGCATGTTCTCCCCGTGGTCGTGTGGATTTTTCTACGAATCCTTGGGTTTTTACCCTCCACATTTAGAATCAACGTGCGTTTTAGAGTATTTTCCGGCAATAAATTTCCACGCGACGGTAAGCCACTTCGCCGAGCTGCCATTAGTGGCCAGGTCGCTTCTGAAAATGAGCTACGCAACTCAGTTGGGGGCCTTATCTGGTAAAAATTAACCCGTAAAAACAAAGTTTTTCACTATAAATCCTTTATATGCGTGTTCAATGGGCCACAACCCAGCCCACATTGGTCTTTGAAACGGGCGGCTAGAGTCCTCTCGTCCTCTGGCTTGAGATGGCTGCCACCTATGGGTCAGATGATTGCCTGCCACCATTAAGCAATTGGTAATTAAATATAATTTTTTTTACCTAAAAAGTGTAACATTTTGGGAATTTTTTTTCACGAAAAGAAATTGTCAGGCACAACGAGTCTGTGTGCAAAATGTCAGCTCGATTGGATCACGGGAAGTGGGTTAAAAAACGACCGAAAGATTTGCACGGTCGTAAGCGCGCAAGCAAGCAACCAAGCAAGCAAACTTAATATAAAGGATTTAAAAATTAAAAAAAGTTAAAATAGCGTGGTACTGGCGGGCGTGATGGTGCCACCTCGCCAGGACCTGTTCGTATTGAGGCCGGTGACGGGATTCTTCCTCGTGGCCTCCTGGAGGTCCATGTCTTTGTCCTCCATGTGCAGCAGCTTCAGCCGGATGGGGATGCGCAGTTGGCTCATCTTGAGAGCCAGGTACACGGCCCGCAGCACGCTCGCAGGTGTGCTCCTCAGGGTCTCGCTGAAATTCCATGAACACCCTGGGTGGCGGGGGAGGGGAGTTTGGGGAGGGAGCCTGGCTGTTAGTCCATGTGCTTGCTGTACGTTAAACTTCTTTCGTGCCGTACGTGGCCAACCATGCTAATCGGAGGTGCGGAAGGGTAAGGACAACAAACTTAATCACAAAAAGCAGTTCGAAAGAAATGAGTACGACCCGAAAATCCAAAACGCGGGGGGTGAGCCACAAGCTGCGCTCAACTTTGTTTTACGAGTCGAGGAAATGAACTAAAACTAAACTCATAATGAAGGTTTTTGGGTGTGTTGGAGAGTAAATCCACAACATATTACAATTGTGGATTCACTCTTCAACACACCGGTGGGCTGTAGTAGTAACTAATTGGCGCGCTGTTCACATGACAAACCTTACTGGTTTGTATCGGGTGGTGGAGGGTTACGACACATTCATACTTACGCGATCTAACTCAAAAAACCTTCATTATGAATAATATTGGTCGCGAAAGCCTACGTGCTAAAACTAAACTATAAACGTTTTTTTTTATTTTACTAGGTTAAGGCCCACTGAGCTATGTAGCTCTTTTTCAGAAGCGTCCTGGCCACAAATGATGGCTCAATAAAGTGGCTTATAATCATGTGAAAATGTATAGCAGTCAAATGCTCTTAAAGGCATGTTTCTAAACGTGGAAGAAAAACAGGAGGACTTGGAGATAAACATCCACACGACCACAGGGAGAGAGATCGAACCCACGACGACCTCCTGTATACCAAAACGAGGGAGTTAACATCTTCCTAGCCACAGTGGTGCCACCAAATAATCCGACACGAAACCAAAACCGGACATCCGCTCCACACGCCCCCCCCCCCCACCTCTTGTTCACGACGCGACACTAAACGTTGACGTTGCCCCCCCCCCAGGGTAATTTATTGGCTCTGAAAAAGGCTCCCACCTTGTGCCATCAAAGTAGATTGCTTTTCCACGGCCACAATCCCCCAGGGCGGCGCTGAGCTGCTGGGTGTAGCATTGGCCCCTGGGAGGCATGTTCCACAGCTGGACCGGCACACAACACGAAGGGCAGGGGCAGCCGCTGGGACGCCAAACTCCAGGGTAGCAGCATCACGGATCTCATCTACCGGCGCTACAGGTGGTCCCCAAATAGTTCATAAAAAAATTATAATCTAAAAACTCAACTATTTTTTTGTTATTTTACCTGGTAAGGCCAAATGATCCGCTGCATGAGGATACAATTCTGGGGTTGTGCATCATCACCGTCATCAATAACCACCAATCTCCACCCCGATCCACGACCATTATCACCATCATCATCACCACCACCATCAACACAATCACTACCGCTGTTCTCCCCTTAGTCCAGGGCATTGCCTCGGCTGGTTTGTATATGGCAAAAACATATATTTGAGGCAAAACTACATCACATTTAGTTATTTTACGCTCTTCTTTTTGCACAACAGTGCTTAACCCTCATCAATACATGTCAACATATTGCTGCCACTCAGTTAAAGCAAAATCATTTCTCGTAATTCCAAGTTCAACTCCAGCATGAAATCAAAACTTCAGGCCCAAATCTCTATGGTGGCGGTGGGTGGGTGGTGGTTGGGGTCCCTGGTACCTTGACCGTGGTCTTGGGGTCATGAAGGTTCATTTCCTTGGCAGCGCTGACCTCGTTAATGGAGCAGCAGCCGAAGTAGAAGGGGTAAAAGGCTCCGGCCAACACCACCTGCAAGGGCAGACCCCACAACCACGCGCTTGAGGAACACAAGGGGGGCCTCTTAACCAACATGGCAGGCTGCCCTCGGGACATTTCTCCAGCTACGCGTGCGAAAAACTCTCAATTGACTTGGAAACAAAAAAAAAATGTAAATCATCAGCCATCATCTTTCCGCTGCTCGATGAGGACCCCCCTCCCACCCCTCGCCCCTCTCCAAGCCGGTCGCCATCCCTCTCGGTCGCTCTCGACCGGCGGTGGACGTCCTCCCTCGGGGCAAGTTCCCTCTGCGGCGAGTACAATGTCTTTAAAAACGAAGGGTGCTTTGCCCCTCTGAATAAAATGAACGCGAACCGCTTACGTGTTCCAAGATTCTGCGGTGAACAGGACACTGACCCTGTAACTTGCAGACGTCTCAGAACGGGAAAGGGTTTATATTGTGTCGCTTGACTTGTGTATTATAGCGGCCGGTATTATTGAGGGTGAGAGACTCAATCGCTAAGACAACTTGGCGAGCCGGGCCAACGAATCCGGCCCAACGAAGGAGCCCAAATCGTTTTAGGGGAAGGAGACAAGACAACGCGCGGTACGCACAACCCGTTGGACACGTTACGAGTATTCGGGCTCACACCCAATGGGCTCTCTTAAGACCGGGAGCAAGAGCAGAGCTTCACCATTCTGGCGAATTGCCCGATGATGCTGGATGCAATTACCAGCGAAACGTCGTACTCAAAAATTGTAAATGTTGTGGTTTCACGCTTCAACACACCGGTGGGCTAAAGCAGTGAACTATTTGTCTTTTGTCAACATGACACTTTTTTTGCTGATTGGCCGTGTCGGGTGGTGGAGGGTTACGACACATTTATAAATAACGCGATCTAACCCAAAAACGTTGATTATGAATCAGAACGTGCGCTCTTCGTACTGGTACGCAGCCTCACGTATATTTTTTACCGATGTACCATTTGTGATTACACGTAATGTGCCTCACCACTATAATGGAACAAAATCATTCTGTGGACAACAAATAAAAGCAATAATTTAGGATGCGTCACGTGCAGATTTCAGGGAACTAGGCCAGATCCGACGCCAAAAGTTGTCCACCAAGCTCTGTTGATGTGCATTTATACAGAAGTGGCCTTAATTTACCTGAGCTACCCGCGGTGCACCAAAACACGGCAACGAATGTATTAAGTCTAGATTTGAAGCTTTCGTGACTGCAAGGATTCATACTCTTTGGTTTTGTCGGTAATGTCACGTAGGTAAAAAATAAAAGAAAAGAAATGAAAACAACTAAATTCAACCACGACAAGGTGGAACCGTTACAGCCAAAGTCGCTTACTACAGCGACTTTGGCTGTAACGGTTCCACCTGAATACGGAAGCTTGTGTTGCCTCCGAAACGTCGTGATTTAAATGAGTTGTTTTCATTTATTTAATTAAATGTTTTACCTACGTGACTTTACCAAATAAACAAAGAGTAAGAACGAATGTATTAGTATTATCTGCTGTCAATTCACCTGCGAGAGAGAAGTCGTGCAAACCGATTTTTTTTACGGAAGGTCATTTCACGCCCGCAGACCTTTTTTTTGTACTTTTACCATTTCAATAATTTACGGGAGATATTTTCATTGCCAGTAATTTTCCGCAGACTCCGGTTAAAGGGGCAGCGAATCTCTTCCCCCTCGCTGAAGTGCCACGATCACGGCACCCCTTCAAATTCTTGCGCCGCAGCAACTCAAGAGGATTCCACTCGCTTGCGCTGTGCGTAGCCCTTCCTCTGTTGTCCAGGTCGGTTTAACAAACCCCGCAAACACTCTTACCCACTCAGGACAGCTCCTGCCATGATCAATCCAATGCTGGATAAAGGGCCTCCACCACCCCCCCTCAATTCTCACGCTCCGGCGATGTAACAATCCACCGAGCACCTGTGCACGAGCCGATCTCACTGCTCCATCTCCATGGTGGACGGGCTGTCTCGTGCGCTCCATTCCACGGTTGGCCACCCCCACCATGTCGCTCTTCTTCTCGACCGAAAGCCATCCCTCCCACCCCCCCCCCCCGTTTCTTGTGGGGCGTCCCACCCACCCCCACGCCCCCCCCCCCTACCCTCCGTGCCCTCTTATTTTAGTTTAATGGTCCTGAACGGTTCGGAATTGTGTCATTAACCTGCGCGTGCGTGTGTGTGTTGCCTCAAATCCACGCGTGTTGATCGAGACGGCACAAATCAAGAGAAAACACAGTCCCTTCCCCACGCTCTCCTCCCCCCTTGCCCCACCCCCTTGCCCCAACCCCCCGATGGGATTCGGGATGTTGGTTTGCTGGGTGTGGTTCTCTAGCAGGGTCGGTTGCAGCTGTAAAACTTGAGGGGGCCACAGCGAGGCGTTTTTACGCGACGCTTCGCGAAAGTGATCCCGCGGTCATCATCGGTAAAACCATCCAACACTCCCGCCGCTCGGTCAATTGCTTCGGCTCGGACGGTTACCTCTGGATTGATAATAATAAATAAATAAAAACTACAATGGCGCCAAAAAATACGGCGTTCCAATAGGCGTAAACCACGCCAGCGGTTAACATGTGCCTCTACGTATGGGGCAAAGGTGCAGGCCCGCAATTCCTCCGTCACCGCCGCTCCTGGTGAAAGGGCATCCACGAGTGGGAGCTGTAGACGGGCCTCCCCGAGGGTGGTTCCTTTGGCCTACACTCTTCTTCCACAGTGGTCAGACGTATTTGGAAGGGGTGGGGAGTTACCCACACTTTACACTCCGGGCACACGTGACCGGCCGGTCAACTGCGTTGCAGCCATTTATTTGTGCTGGGGAGATAGCTTGCGGGGTGGAGGATGGAGGTGGCAGGGGGGTGGAGATTGAAACATGTGCCCAGTGTTTCAGTTGTCCCGCTGCAAGATCGAATAGAACCGGCGACCTATCGGCTGCAATTAATAAGTTGATACCTCGGTGGGCTTTGTCTGGTAGGATGGTTTAGTTTTATTTTGTAAGTGTTTGGGTGATTTGTTTACCTTTCTTGTACATTGCACTCCTATCGTTGTTGTTACGTTCCCAACCACCCCGAGTGGACATCTATGAAAAACAGCTTTGTAGCTCATCGGATTCTACCTCTAGTCAAAATAAATATTCCGATTCTGAATTCCGGTGGGCGACTATAGCACGGCAGCAACCTAATTATGCCACACGCGTACACAACAAAAACAAAACACTGACAAGACACGTCAGCTCCTTATAATCTAGGTGACTGGCAACAACAAGGTCTGTCGGCGCCGTTAAAATCCGGCGTGTTCGCAATCTGGGGCAGCCACTCGTGATAAAAACGGCTTTCTCGAAAAAACGCAGCGAGTCGACTGGCCTCAAAAATTCTAGATTTGAAGCTTTCGTGACTGCAAGGAATCATACTCTTAGGTTTTTTCGGTAAAGTCACGTAGGTAAAAAATAAAATGAATAAAATAATAGAAATAAAATAAAATAATAAATCACGACGTTTCGGAGGCAACACAAGTCTCCGTCATCAGGTGGGACCGTCACAGCTAGATTTACTGTATTTACTATTATTACTTTTATTATTATTTACTATTATCACTTTTATTAATTTTATTTATTTTTACTTACGTGACTTTACCGGAAAAAACCTAAGAGAGTATGACCTCAAAAAGCCAGTCCGGCGTGCTGACCGCCGCGCCGCGTTATCGAGCGGCGGGCCTCGGCGCCGGGATCCGAACCTTCAGGACAAACGGGTCGTATTTGTCGGGCGGCTCCATGCCATCAAGTTTGTCCAAACGGATGTTGAATTTCAACAGCCGCTTCTGTATTTCCTCCATCAGCTCGTCCACCTGGGGAAACGATAAAAAAACAACCACCTCTTCGCACCGCACCACACGCACGCACGTACACCGAAAAACCTAAAACCCGGTCTGGAAACATCGCGGGTTTGACGGGTAAACACGAAAATCTGGACCGGAGTCTGCAAAGCAGGCGCGTGCCCTCGATCCAGCTCACCTCGTGCATCCGGCGGACAATGATCATCTTCTCCAACCCCCACTTTTTCTCCACCTTCATCACGAGGACGTTGGGGAAAAGAACAATGACTCGATCGCGACTGTGCAGCGTCGGTACAGCCGGTGCAAAAACAACGGCCGCAGGCAATGGCTGGGACGGCTCTGCTCAAGCAGTGAGCTTTTAACGATGTGTCGAATTGATATTGATCACGAAGCTCACGATACACGTGTCTAACTGCGCAAGGATCAATGTTTTTGAATTCCCCATATATGTTGTATGCCAAGTGTTCACGGGACCCCGTTCGGCGCAATGCGAAAATAGAATCTACGCTTCTCGAATTGAATAGAGACTCTGAATTGGTGACAATTTATGGGACCACGTGGTGGGCGCTGGGGGAATCGTTGCAGGATTACCGAGCGGCAAAGCTTCCGAGCATCGCGGAGTTCGACAAGCCCTGGATTACACGCGCTCGCGCGCGCCACCGTAGCTCGCGCAACGTGAATTGTGCAACACATCGGAGAGTTCTTTCACAAAGTGCTATCATTCGGATGAGTGTGTGAAAGAAAAATCCAACACCTTGTGAGTCCTGAATTTTCCACTCTCCTTGCAATGCTTCCATTCCTGCAAAAATAAACCTTGGTTAGCGGACGGCCGAGTCGGCAATGGGTCCCCGATGCTGCTGTGGCGAAATCAAACAAACAAAAAACGTAAAAGGTGAGGGGGGTGGTGAAAAAAAACCTCGCCTTGTAAGCGTTAACTGCAGCCAAGCAGTCGCTGTGGGAGCCATCGGACCAGGAGAGCTTGTGCCTGCATGCAACACACACCAGCCCAGCACAGCAGCGTCAGCAGACATCGGCATCTCTGCCGAGCAAAAAAACGAAACGTCAATTAACCCTTTCCTGGTCGGAAACGACCGCAAGTTTTGCAGGGTGGTGTCTCCCATCGGAACGGGCGAGAGGGTTCAACCGTTCCACATTTTATTTAGAGAGGCGTAGCGCCGTTGTTTTTAAAGGACATTGTACTCACCGCAAAGAGGCGTAGCGGCACGACCGCGCTCTACGATAGCCGGCGTCAAACTGTGCCACACGCCCTCCCGCGTGGGCCTAGTCGTAGCCTCGGTACCGATAAAATACACGTAACGTCATCGGAATGGGGTTAACATTCTGCTGCCATTAACAAAATGGGTTCGCTCTGGGATTTTCCCAGAGCGGCCTCGAGGAACGGAAAGGCCAGCGAGGTTAATTTGTCGTCATTAAATAGCGACACGCTGCCCTCCCCATCACCGATAACCCAGCAACGTCCGGATTCATTCCTACGTAACAGCAGCAGCGGCGGGAAGCACTCAGCTGAGGGCAGAAAAAAAATTGGCCATCAGAGAGCCATCCTATTTGTCAAAACTGTTAATTAACGCATCCGCTAATGCAACGTTTTATAAATTAATTGTACGTGCGTACACTGTATTGAATCAACAGATGGCTGCACTAAAACGAATTAACAGTGCAAAAAAAAAAGCAAATCATGTGGCCTCTATTTGCGAAAACCTTCATCACAGATTTTAGAGCAGGATTCCCAGTCGATAACTGGACATCGGCCGAATGAGCTGAGATGAAAAACAAAGAGCACAGTTTAAGAATTAGTTGTTTAACACTTAATCAGAGTACTTCTCCAGTTCAGCCTTTGCCTCTTAAGTGACACAATCAATCGCCCTGCGTTCCACCTTCTTTAGGGCAATTGACACTGGCAATCATTGCCGTTCAATTTTCTTTCGTAAAAAGAGAAGTTAAAATTTCCTATATCTGGACAAGCCCTCTCGAGGGTAAGGGGCCGTCCATAAATGACGTCACGAACCTAGGGGGGAGGGGGGGGGGGTCAGACATTTGTGACGATGTGTGACGAGAGGGGGGGGGGGGTTGACAAATGTGACTTCACGTCAAAATGCGCAACTTTAAATAAATATAGACAACACGTTCTACTTAATTCAATATACTTTTTAATAAATGTTTTCTCCTACCACATCAGAGTGCAGCGGTACATTAAATACGCACTACAATGACAATAGTTTAAAGCGATTTGAAGCATGTTTAATTTTTTTTGGAGGGGGCAGAGCTTTGTGACGTCACATTTGAGGGGGGGTCTGACTTTTTGTGACGCCGTATGACGATGGGGGGGGCGGGTCAAAAATCGTCCAAAATCGCGTGACGTCATTTATGGACGGCCCCTAACTGGGATGGCAACATCCATTGAGGTCACGGACAGGAGTCGCACGAATAACCCAAGCTCGTGCGCTCGATAGCCACTCACCGAAACGATTTCAGCATCTCGTTGAAGGGCGCGAGGAACGTGCTCTGCAGGGACAGCGACGCGGCTGCAAGGGGACGAGATGACGGGCGAGGTTGGCGAGCCGTCGCGATCGCGTCGCCGGGTTCGCTCGCGCGCGTGAGCCCTTTACCGATTCCTCAATCGTTAATTATTCCGTTGTGGCTTTAAGGATGACACAACGCCCCCGCACATTGGCTCGCTCGCACTGCTGCTGGCCTTCCGCTAGAGGGAGCACAAAATAGCCCCTCTGTAGAGGGTGCTCTGGGCCTACTGTTCCACACTGGCCAGATGAAACAGATGTGAGTAAAGCACAATTCACATCAAACACAAAGCCTGTTAGCAACCACCTTTGAAGGCCGGCACGGCGCAGGATGGGGTGGGTGGCCAGCACCACGTCCGGCCGCCTTTGTCTCCCCAGTGGCGATGTTTAATGTTTACACACCGCACCAGGTAATAATTTTAGGCCGAGCCGACTTAGGGGAGGCCCAGGACCGGTTCAGATAATCGTCACTGGTGTTGGCCGTGAGCAGGAATCGAACTCGGGTCGCCAGGTTCATAGCGCGGCGCGCTGACTGCTACACGACCACAATTTACACAACCACCACCGCCACTACCACGTCATGCGCCCTGCTGATGGGACCGACTGTGGTGAACCCATTAACACTGCTGGGTGGGACAGAGGCCGGCAGGGAGACTCAAGAAAGGTGCCCCATTGTCTCAACGGCCATGCTGGGCGGTCACGAGGGTGGACGTGTGCAGTTAACCAGTCGTATTATAGCCTTGGCAGAGACAAGAGGGGGGTAATATTCTTTGGTTCTTTCGGTAAAGTCACGTATAAAGATAAAATAAAAAAATAAATAATAGCGAACTACAACGTTTCGATTGCAACACAAGCAATCATCAATGATGGTCATCAATGATGATGATCATCAATGATGGTTGCAATCGATGCTATTATTTAATTTATTAGTTTATCTTTATACGTGACTTTACCGAAAGAACCAAAGAATAATTCCTGCAGTCACGAAAGCTCAAAATTTTGAGGGGGGTAGTGGCATCTGAGTAATTCTACAACACACTCGCTGGACTAAGCATCTGGTGATTCACCATCCCAGCAACGCAACTTTACAAGAAAGCTTTGCTCATATTGGCCCCATTTTTTAAAGCGGTATGGAGACAAAGAGCGGCACACACACGGCCGAAGCATTAACTCGATACGGAACCAGAAAGTACAATCATGCAAACGCGTGTTAGATTATCGCTCTCCAATATGCGTTTGCAGCTCCAAGTTTTGGGCAGCACTCTGATCAGTTTGTATCTATGTATGTTGAACTTCTTTCGCACCGTACGTAGCCAACCGTGCTAATCGGTGGTGCGATGGAAGGACAACAAACTAAACACAAAAAGCAGTAGTAAAATAATACTAGTTTTTTATTTTATTTGACCATCTATAAATGGGTGAAGAACCGGAGAGAGCAACACTACTTTTCAGTCAAGTGTTGTTCACGTTGGGTCACCTTTACGAGGGTTAAGCTGCCACCCCCCACTCACCCCCATTCACCCCCCCATCCCATCCCCCCTCCGACGGACAGTCGGGAACGACGGACGGATCTGACGCGTGAACGACTTCAAGCGTGGCCGGAACGCGTGTGCAGGAGCGCGAGAGGCCCACCGATGATGAGACACTCGTGGAAGCAGCCGAACACGTGCCCCAGCACGAGCAGCTTGCCCAGGCGCAGGTCGATGGGCAGCGACGCGAGGACGCGGCCCAGCGTGGTGAGCTCGCCGTCATGCGGGTTCAGCCTGCCGTCCGCCATCGTGATGGTGAGGGCGCCGACCTGCGCCGGGACGGGTTGCGCCCACGGCAAGCACGTGTACGCGCACGCACGTACGCGCAAACACACGTATGCATGCGCAAATTAAGACAGTGAGATTCTCCCCCCCCCTGCCCCATAGCCTTTACAGACTGTTGGGGCAAGTGCTGTTAGCGAGCACCTATGCATGTGCAAACACACACACAAGTACGCACGTACACATGCACGGGCAACACGCACGCACGCACGCTCAATCACACACACAAAACAACAACCTGCCATTCGCCACAAAGTGGCAGTGACGTCACTACGGTGCTTGTGCCAGGCTATGTGCACGTTAAGGCCAAGTGAAGTGTCGAATGCCCGCTGGCAGAAGGTCACGGGACAGACCCAGGTGCCATGGGTTGACTGACTGAGATGACTGCCAATTCACCATTTGTGCCCACTACAGTGCCACCTACTGTGCCAACTTGCTATGTTTTAGCCACCCGGCACTCCGCTCGTTATTGTGAACGTCACTCCTCTGCCCTCATTTGTTACTGCAGGGCGACTGCCTCCAACTGCCCAGAAGCGTCCTCCACAGAGGCCGATCTTGACACCACTGGTACCAGTCATCGGAAAGTCCACACAGCTCCACATCCTCTTGTACCCCATCACTCCATCTCTTCTCAAGCCAGTGTCTCGCACGTTTAGCCCCCTCTATCCGGCCGAAAGCTGTTTAGGCATGCGGTGACTGGGCATGCGGGCTACATGACCCAGCCAACGCAGCCTTGACTGCTGGAAGCAGCTCACTGATGGGACTTTGTGAGCTCCTCACACAATCCAGCCTGGTTAAACTCAGGATGGATCGTAGGCAGGCCAGCCTAAATGTTTCTAACCGGCGAAGTTGTTCCATTAGGGGGGTTCCACGTTTTCGCAAAGATAGAGAAGGGAGGGCATGACCGTGGGCGAGAAGACCCGAAGCTTCGTGTGGAGCGACAGACCAGGTAGCTTCCACACAGCGTTACGCAGCCGATGAAAAGATGTCGCTCGATTGAATAAGAGTGAGACCTCTGTTGTCAAACCGGAGCCGGTCATGAGCACACTGGCCAGGTATGGGATACTCTCCCCACTTGAACCACAACTGCCCCATCACCAACACACGGACACATGCAAGCACAAACACAAATATCCCTCGTATAGGCTTTAACAGACTGTTGGGACATGTGCATACGCACATGCACACACAAGTACACGTACGCGTGCACACACGGCTCTGCCCACCGTGGACATGGCTGGTCACAGTCCACCAGCGCTAGCGAGGTCACACCGAGAAGCGCACAACAACTACAGCACCAACAGCTGCCATTCGCCAATAAGTGGCGGTGACATCTCCACGGCGCTTGTGCCAGGCTATGTGCACTTTAAGGTCACGTGAAGTGCCGAACGCCCGCTGCAGGTGGTCACCGGACAGACCCAGAAATGCATATATATAAAAATATACATTTACACACACATTTAAATACGTACTCTCAAGTGCATACAAATGAACACGCAAGTTTAAGGTAAAAAGCGCCGCCCTGCAATTGCCTGCTCATGCTTCTGCTGGCTGAAGGGGCTCCAGGAGAAGAAGCTCTACAAATACCAACTAGAGGGGACTGTGGCCTACTCTCCCATGCAGTTCAGACATCCTGGAAGAGGTGGTCGCAACCACACTTTACCCCACCACGCGCAACCTGCCGATCTGCCTAAGCGTGGTTTTACCTGGTCATTCTGCTGATAGAATCTGCAATCCGGCAACCTCTGGATTTAAAATTCCAGTTTGGTAACCATTTACACTGCAGCAGCAGCATCACAAACAAGCACACGAGTTATACAATTATTGTGAGAGGTGTGATATTTGCGAAATAATGAAAATAACCTTGTTAATGGATTTTTTTTGTAAATGTTGGGGCCAAGTTGATGCTTTAGTGGAAATTCAACTGTTGAAAAATTGGCATTCTACTCTACAGGAAATAAAGCCTCTCTACATGTTACCACAACTAATTAAAGCATTTTATTTTTAATAATTAGCAGATGAGAACAGCGTGGAAATATCCATCAATAGCTGCAGGCGTGTAACACGGCGAGCGAACGGTGTGCTAACAAACTAGAGAGCTTTTAACGTTCAAGTCCAATGGGACGTTTACACAATTGAAAAAACGTGATTTTGTTCGTAAACAAAAATACGGCAGACACCTGGCTCATGAGGATTTTCTTTTCACAAAAAAAATTCCCCCGTAAAAATGAATGCCACCAAGGGAATGGATGCAAAACCAACGAATATTTGAGATGGAAATTTCTCAAGATCACCCGCTTGTTCTTCATCTTTTCCCTTCCCCCCCCCCTGCTCCCGAACAAGTGGAGGCAGCGCTGAATGCAAATGCAGAAAAATGACAGATAACCAAGGTGGCCCGCGATGTTGCCGAGGCCACTTATCTCAATTACGTTGCCTTTAACTCAATACGCAGACGAATGCAGCTTCCACGGCGGCGTGTGCGGGGCAAACGGAATGCCTCGCCGCTGGCCCCAAAGCTCTCCGGCATCCATCCAATCAATGCCTCACTTCTCAGCAAAAAGGGCAGCTAACCAACTGGAGTCACGTAAAAACTTTTTTTTTATTTCACCAGGCAAGGCCCACTGAGCTAACATAGCTGTTTTTCAGAAGCGACCTGGTCACAAATGATAGCGCATTGAAGTTGCCTATCGCGTGGAATTTTTTTTTCAAGCAGCCAAAAACTTTAAACGCATGGCGATTCTAAATGTCGAGGGAAAACCCGAGGAGCCGGAGAAAAATCCACATGACCACGCGGAGAACACGCAAATCCAAATATACAGGCGTCGGGATCGGACCCACGACCTCCTGTATACCCAGCGAGGTCATTAACATGCCAGGAAACTAGATGTTGTTGGACACGTGACTGCCATGCAGGCTTTTAGACCCGAACAGAAGGCTGGTTTTTACCATTATTATCATGGTTGACTAAGTACGGTGCGAAAGAAATTAAACATACATCCATACCACCAAGCGGTTAAGAATTCTGCCAGACGGCTCAGCGGTAGAGAGAAATCAGCCTGGTTTGGGGGTTTAATTTAGCCCATCATCCCTCTGGGATCGATAAAATAGCCACCACTTTGTGGCAGAAGTCAACAGGGATACAAAAACTCACTGCCCTCCCCCCACCATCAAGAGGAATTCTGTACCAAGTAGACAGGGCAGAGAAGACAACGTCCCGTCTGCAAAAAAACCATGTACCCAGCCGGTGAATTGGACACGACCTCTCTTAATCCACTCTGGTCAAGGCAACAATTGCATCAAAATCACAACGTCACCGTCCATCCGCCTCTCCGTCGCAAGCGACTTCCACTCATGAGAGTGCCTGTGAGCACCCAGTCTGTGGATTATAATTTTCTCAGTCCCCAAACCGAGTCTCCTTAAGCAGACGGCTTCCCTAGGACTGCTCAACTCTGGAATTCCCCCCCTCCCCCTCTTCCCCCCCCCCCCCCCCAATTTCTTATAGCCTTCCTCAATGCATGAAGTGTTGACCTTCATCGTATAAGAATAGGTTTTACCCTTTCTGGCAATAAAACAGAACACTTTTTTGTTTGCATGTTCACCACAAGTACGTGTGGTTAATGCAGACATGATTTCTTGCAAAAAGGTTTCCGTTTGGTGTTTGAACATCTTAACACAACTGTTTTATTGCCAGAAAGGGTAACACCTATTTTTATACTTTGATACTGCCAAGAAAGGTCCCATGTTGTAACCTTTATCGGTTACAACTTTAAAAGTGTGCCCATTGTTGCTGGCCCGCTTGGCGTTTCGTACCTCTCGGGCCTGCAATTAATCTGCGGCCGTGATTAAAAACCAATTAATCCCACCCATTGTCATTAAATGTTCGTGTGCGAGGTGCATAATTCACCAGGCCAGCCAATTGGCGAACTCATAAAATCTTCTGACATAGATGGCCAATTAACATTTTCGACTCGCTCAGTGTGACGTGGCCTCTAATCACGTCACTAAATCAATTCAGTCGGGCAGCTCTTGAGTCTCGACATGCATGGCAGCAGGGAGTCCTGCAGCACGGATGACGGGGGGTGGAGGGAATTGCAGATGAAAGGGTTAACAGAGGGACTAGCCGACGAAGAGACAATGACCGAGATAGAGAAAAATACCCTTTGGGTGAATTAACACTGGGGTGAGAGGGGCGCAGTGGGGTAGAGTGAGGAGTGGTGAGGGCATGGTGGGGGGGGGAGTGGTGGGAGTAGTGGTGGGAGTAGTGGGGGGGGAGAGTCGTGGGAGAAGTAGTGGGAGGAGTGGTGGGGGGAGTGGTGGGAGTAGTGGGGGGGGGTGGTGAGGGGAGTGGTGGGAGAAGTGGGGGGAGTGGTGGGAGAAGTGGTGGGGGGGGGAGTGGTGGGAGGAGTGGTGGGAGGAGTGGTGGGGTGAGTAGTGGGGGGAGTGGTGGGGGGAGTAGTGGGGGAGTAGTGTTGGGGGGAGCTGTGGGAGAAGTGGTGGGGGGAGCGGTGGAAGTAGTGCTGGGGGGAGTGGTGGGAGTGTGTGAGTGAGGGGGGAGAGTGGTGGGAGTAGTGGAGGGGGGAGTGGTGGAGTAGTGTTGGGGGGAGTAGTGGGAGAAGTGTTGGGGGGAGCGGAGGAAGTAGTGCTGGAGGGAGTGGTGGGAGTAGTGGAGGGGGGAGCGGTGGAAGTAGTGCTGGGGAGAGTGGTGGGAGTAGTGGGGGGGGTGAGTGTGGGAGTAGTGTTGGGGGGAGTAGTGGGAGAAGTGTTGGGGGGAGCGGAGGAAGTAGTGCTGGAGGGAGTGGTGGGAGTAGTGGAGGGGGGAGCGGTGGAAGTAGTGCTGGGGGGGGGGAGTGGTGGTAGTAGTGGAGGGGGGGGGAGTGTTGTGGCCGCACCTCTTTGAGCAGCAGCACCGTGCGCTTGATGTTGGAGAGGTTTGGCGGAGTCAACGCCAGCGCCAGCATCGCCTTGGGCTCTCCCAGGTCCAGCTGCTTCACCCGCAGCACCGTGCTCTCCAGTGGGCAGCGCTGGGCAGCATCGGGGCGGCAGCGGGCAGCAGCGATACGGCGCACAACGGGCGCACGCGTGCACAACACAGCAGCATCAGCGCCGTGGTGTATAGGCCGTGCTCTTCGGATCGGAAGACGCTTCCCGCTAAGTTAGACGCACGCCGAACTTGCGCTCGGTGTCAATTAAGTTGTACAATCGCACAACAACAACAGCCGCCGCCGCCGCAGCCAAGCGCACTCCGGGGCCACATCAAGTGTCAAAGACTCGCCGACATACACACAGACACCACACACCTAACAGAATGCAACAAGCATCCCCCCCCCCCCACTGCCGCCCCCCCCAATATTTGGTTTCAAATACAGGGGAATAAAAGTGCCTCTTATATCCAAGGAGAATACAGGACATGTCAACTATTCAGATTTACCGCCGATACGCCAGCACTCAGCACCGATCTACTCCGGGCACGCGCTCATCTCCGGTCAGTCACATGATTATCACTCTCCCATTGTCAAAAATAATAATAGTAACAACATTCACATTTTGTTTAGTTTCTCGCTTTTCACACAAAAAAAAACAAATATCCCAGAGCGCTGTACAATCAAAAACAGAATACATTTACAAACAAAAAATGAACGACTCCTGAATAATAAAAATCAACCATTGAAAAGGGCCGGTGAATTTTTTTTTTTTAAAGATGAGATTTTAAAATACCAACGGTATTCCGAGTCTCCGATAGCCTTAGGCAAAGAATTTCACCGTCCCCTAGATGAAGAACAGAATTTCCTTTAACCCATCAAGCGAAATCCTGTTTCATGGAAGAGCAAGCGTCCAGAGTCTTGATAAATAATTGTCCTGGAGACTGTTTACCCACGAAAGCTCGAGTCTCAAGACTCATTTTCAGGAGGCAGTAGGAGGCAATGCTGCTGTGTGTAATCCAAACTGTGTAAATTGCAGCTAATTTAGCAGCATTAGGATGTTTGGGCCAATACGAGTTACATTGTGTGGGTTTTCTTGAGCTATGGGAGGAGACTGGAGGACACTGTGGAGAACCATGCAGAGCAATCTGTTAATTAACATTTACACGACCACCAGCGAGTATTGCCGCTCGACCGTGGCTACCGTTCACGTGAACTTCGCCCATGGCTTCCACTCCCCTTGTTGAGAACACAGTCCATCAGGCTGCGTTCAACCGCCGCACTCCCATTAGCATGGTTGGCTACGTACGGCGCGAAAGAAGTTCAACACACACACATATATATATTCACCGCAGGTAACAACAACCTCTTTCCGATGTTTTTTCCCCGCACACAGCTCCGCTTCGGAATTCCCTTCCCGTCGTCTCTTTTCCCCAAGTTCTTACAATCTTGCTCAATTCGAAAAACGTATTCATTCTTTATCTATCACCCATTAAATAGCGCCCGCACTGTCTGTCGCTGGTCACTTGGGAGTTTCGCACCTTTGGGGGAGAGGGGGGGTACGCCCATTAATCGTAACTTGAACATTTTTTTTTTACCATTTTTGAAATGAGCAACTGCTCTCTTCACATTTCCAGTCCTCGAATCACATTTCTACATTTAGGTTTTATAGTGCACCCAGGGGTAAATGTACTTATCATTTAAGAAAAAACACTACAAGACTATCATTGGAAACATAGGCCAAGACGAAATTCCTACTGCTCTCGCATTCCCATGGTACACTTCTCTTCGGGACACCGAATTACCATCCGACTCAATTCAGAATACGTTTGCCTTTGTGACGAGTGTCTGCATACGCTGCGCGCCTGGATAAATAATGCAAGCCATCGCCCTCAACCGCAGCGTGGGCCCAACGTGACAACCGTTAGCAAGCAGGAAAGATGTCAGGGGAGTGCAAGACACCGTCGCAGCATCGTGTGCACACACCGGACGGTTTGACCGAGCGGGAGAGAGCAATTAAGCCGAGCGAGGTTGACACCATGCGATGCGAGCCATACCAGCATTTCTGGGATGGAGTATTCGGGAATGCTATCGTTCCAGAAATCCTTGGTCACGATTCTGTAGCAGTGTCCGCTTGAGGTGCGACCGACACGTCCTGCCGGTGTGTGCAGCGGGTGGAGAGATTGCAGAACACGCTGGCGTTAAAAACAAAAAGAGTTTAACACGTAGGCTTTCGCGACCGATCTTATTCATAATAAAGCTTTTTGGGTTAGTAACACTCCACCACCCGACACAGCCAGTAAGAATTGTCACGTAAAGAATGTGCCAATTAGTGACTACTTCAGCCCACCGGTGTGTTGGAGAGTAAATCCACAACATTTACAATTTGAGTTGTATGACATTTCGCTAGTAATTACATCAGCGGGCGATTTGCCAGAATAGTGAAGCAATGCACCTGAAGCAATCCGTCTGGCAAATCGCCCGATGATGCTGAAGAAGTAACTAATTGGCGCATTGTTTACGTGACAAACCTTACTCTGGCTGTGTCGGGTGATGGAGGGTTACGACACATTTATACTTACGCGATCTAACCCAAAAACCTTTATTATGAATAAAAAAAAAGGTTTTCCATACTTTATTCCAATTGTGCGATCAGTCGACGTCGCGCCACCAGACCGAATACCCATTTGAAATTCTCAAAGAGCAGCGCAACGCTTCGTGTGTTTGAGAACGGCCCGTGGAAAGAGATTTCATAGAATTACTTCTGAAATCGCTCCAAACAAGCTATCTTTAATCCACGCACTATGGCCACGCTCTGCTTGCATGCCCTGCGACAGAGGATTGTTCATTGTAATGGCAGTCACAGCTGGAATTCTGCAAAATTAGGTGCAAAGCTAAATTTAATGATTTTGTTTTTGGCAGTATATTCAGGACTGGTTAAAGACTCAGAACCCGGTTCAGCTGAAATCAAACTCGAACGCAGGATCTCAGGAATGGTGACTGAAGTACTGTGACCTTTCATTCACCTGGGCACTTCCAGAAAATGGAGGCTTTTAATGCACCCCCTTTTTGCTGACAAAATGCATAGCCCCCCCCCCCCAAATTTTGGCATCATCACTCATGATGAGATCCCTTGCCCAAAGGCTACGAGGAGAGCCGTGAGTTTACGATGCTCGGTGGTGAAAGTTAATCTATTCCCCGTGACAAAAAATTTAATGCAAAAATCTACAGAATATTTTAAACATTCCACAGCACCAGACTTTTGAGACTCAAAGCCGGCTGCTGTCCAAGAGTAACTGGTTGATACCCTGCAGAAGCCATTCGAAAGAAAGCGTGGACCTTTCTCCACCCCCGATATATTAAAAATTTCGGGTCAAAACGAACAACCTTGGCTTAGATGCCAAAACGGGTGCACGGGCGAAGAGAAGGCGTTGCGCAACGGCGGAAAAAACGATAATGTGTACGCGATAACAGCGGTGGACGGGGATTATGGGAGGAACGGTGTTCTCTGGCGAGTCGTTGTCATCATCATCATCATCTTCATCAGCCATGGTCAATCCATTGCTGTATGGTACCTTCCCCCCCCACCCCCACCACGAGCCGGCCTCACCTACTCTCGGTTCTCCGATGCAACGATCTATCCGGCACCCGTGCGCGAACTCATTTCGACACTTCCTTTCCCTGGTGGTCGGCCTGTTGGGGACGCGTTCGCGCCTTTGGCTGCCACTACGCCACGAATCTCGAGCAATGAACATTGTCCCAGATTTGAAGTTATCGTGGCTGCAAAGATCCATACTCTTTGGTTTTTTCGGTAAAGTCACGTAGGTGAAAACAAAATAAAACTAAATGAAATCACTGTGATTTAATTTAGTTGTTTTATTTTTTATTTTATTTTGTTTTCACCGACGTGACATTACCGAAAAAAACAAAGAGTATGGACCATTGTTCCCCCCTTTCCAGCAACGTCTTCTTCCCAAGCCCACTTATTTTTCTTATCAGTCGACACAAAGCGTCCAAATTTGCACATTCTCTAATCCATGGATTCCCCCTGCCACCTCTCCGCATGCTTCTTTGCGCAGGGTCACTTCATCAGTGACCCCGTTCACTAATCTAATTAGCAAGTAATATGCTACGTTTAAAAAAAACATTTTTAGTCACACGCCGGTAAGTTGCTCTTCAGCTTCAACATTCAACAAGGTAGTGCAACCCCCCCCCTCCCGCGTCGTTACCGCCACGCGGCGGGGGTACCTTTCCGCTGCTCACAGTTGGCCTTGGAAGCCCACATGAGACGCAGGCTCTGGTAGTTGGTGCCGGTCTCGCACACCATCTCTCGGGCCAGGCAGTAATCGATCACTGTTGCGACACGCGCGGCGGCACAGAGGGGGGGGGGCATCGGTGGCAAAATCTGTGAACCGAGCTATGACGACACACGGTCGGTCCATGACCCACGGCACAAATTGGCACACTCTACGGGGAGGCCAATATTATTGTTTCATTCCTTTGCTCGTCCCCTCAAATGATATTTCAACTGTACTGTTGGCGACGTGCCACGAGATGAAAATAACTTCCATTCGGAACTGCGGTGTATCACAGCGGCATATTTCAGTTCTTTATAACTGCTTTTATTGAACTCGCTTCGTCTGTTGTATCCTCAAAAAAAAATCTTGTAACTCAATTTCAACCGTATTGCCAATGTCGTATCGACTGCAAACTTGGTATACGTATGTCATACTGATGACAACACGATGTTCTATCAGAAAAAATCATAAACATATATTTAAAAAGTTTTACACGCTTTTATTTAACTTACTGTATGTGTTGTATCCAAAAATCTTGTAACTCAATTTCAACCGTATTGCCAATGTCGTATCGATTGCAAACTTGGTATAGGTATGTAATACTGATGACAATACTATATTCTATCATTGAAAATTTTTAAACAATCTTTTTAACGGCTCTAATTGTCGACGCTCAACTGGCGTTGCAGGGCAGCTCGGAAAGTACATTTCATTAAAGCGAGTAAAAAAAAAAGTATTTTTTAATATTTTATTGTGTTTAAGTTTGTTGCCCTTGCCCCGCACCCTCGGTGAGCACGGTTGGCTACGTACGGTGCGAAAGAAGTACAACATGCATACTCCGTACATGCCCTGTCGGAGGACGGTCCAGCAACTTGACGTAATGTAACCACTTGAGGTCACTTCGATAGAAATGGTTATTCACACTAGGGGGGGGGGGACTCTTTAATGCTCCGCAAAGGGCTTTTTCTCATAAGTTCAATTAAAATATATGGTGGTATGGTGGTGTTTTTGTGCAGTAATTGGTAACCCGGCCAAGACCATCAACTCGTTACACTCGCGAATCCAGTTTAATCATGGTTAGCTGAAACCTGGATTTGAACACAAGATCACAGTGGGGCCGGCTTAATGCTTTAATCCCTTAGCCACCCGCCCACCTCTGGGTGGCTAAATGTTAATTGCACCAATTTATTTACACGGCCAATTAACGTGACTTATGGGACAACCCACTCATTTGTAAAGGTTATCACATAATTTACTTTCATTGGCAGTGAAAAGAGATTGGTGCCACTAGAGTTTATCAACCTCGGGTGGGATCAACATATGAAGTGCCTACACACATGGACTAACAGCTGATTTAAGTGCAGCGAAACTACACACCAGACAGTGATGCGTTACCACTAATATCGTAACTGCGAGGTAGATTGCCGTGGTTGTGCTGTATCAGTCTCCCATGTGTATTCGGGTTGAACCAAGCGAGATGTCGACACAGTGACGAGATGTTAACTACCTCGCCTGGTATGCAGGAGGTCGTGGGTTTGATCCCGACCGCGACGCCTGCTCTATATTGGGAGTTTGCGTTTCTCCCCATGGTCGTGTGGGTTTTTCCCCAGGGCCTCCGGGTTTTCCCTCCACACGTAGAAACATGTGTTTTAGAGTATTTGGCTGCTGTAAATTTCCACACAAGCCACTTCGTTGAGCTATCATTTGTGGCGAGGTCGCTTCTGAAAAAGAGCTACATAGCTCAGTGGACCTTAGCTGGTAAAATAAAAAAGTTGAAAGTTTTATCTTAGTTTTGTTCAGTTCCAGAGATCAATCATAGCGCAGTGGGAAAACCACTGAGACCGATACAACCCAGAACACTTACCGTATTTTATGTCAGGTACGGTTATCGAACTTTCAGCAATGTTGGTTGAAAGGATGACCTAGTGGGTCAAATCAACGAAACACGACAAACAGAAACAGTACTTTCGTCAGTAACTTTTCAAGCGCAGGATATTTTTTTTTTTTACTTTGCGAATTAATTTACTTGGCTCATCCGATTATTTACGATCTTATTACCCAAAGCGATCGTTAACACGAAGGGGTTGTCACCCGTGATTATTTTCGAATCACTCCCGCGGTTGAGCCAGCGGCCGTAGCGCAATTGCCATAGGCCCTGGTGCAATGAACGAAATGCCCGACCCACCCCCTACCTCTTCGTAACCCGGGCATGGGACCCACCTCTAACCATTACCCAAGTTGATCACTCGTAGAAAAAAAATAAGAATACTCGAATTATCCGGAATGAATGAAGACGAGTTTTTTGACAAGAGCAAGCCAAATGGCCCAGAGGATACGGCTTCTTGCCTTGCGCAATCCACACGGCACCGGGTCAAAAACCATTTTCTGTTCTTGCGGAGTGAGCGACGAGTGAAGCGGCAGCAGCTTCAGGCTGCGGAGACAATCGGAGAGATCAACACCCGCCGTGTTCACACGCACGTCCTGGCAACCCCCCCCCCCAACGCTGCCGTGCCAGCGCGGGTGGGGGGGGTGGGGGATTCAAACCCAAACGTGCGGCGGCCGGTGAGCTCAGGGGTCTCGTACTCCCACTCCATCCCACTCCCTCCCACTCCATCACACTCCTTCCCACTCCCTCCATCCCACTCCATCCCACTCCCTCCCACTCCCACTCCATCCCACTCCCTCCCACTCCCTCCCACTCCATCCCACTCCCTCCCACTCCCACTCCATCCCACTCCCTCCCACTCCCTCCCTCCCACTCCATCCCACTCCACACTCCCTCCCACTCCCTCCATCCCACTCCATCCCACTCCCTCCCACTCCATCCCACTCCCTCCCACTCCCTCCCACTCACTCCCACTCCCTCCCACTCCCACTCCATCCCACTCCCTCCCACTCCCTCTCACTCCATCCCACCCCCTCGCACTCCCTCCCTTGTATCTCTGGGCTTCGAGGCGTTTGTTACATTAGGGCACATTTTAATAAATGTAGGTTGTTTTTGTTGCGGTACTGCAAGAGAGCACTGAGCTGCCATCGCGGAGATGCCAAGTTCGAATCCAGGCAGAAGCTCGTTGATGGGTGTATCTTGAACCGTACGTAACCAACCGTGCTATCCGAGGTGCGGGAAATTAGGGAGGGTTGAGTGTGACGAATACCAGAATGGGACACGTATCTGGGAATACTGGGGTGTGGATTTACTTGCACAGTTCTGAGATAACACATCCACACTGGCACACGGAAACTCCCCACGACTATCATATCGGCTCGAATGTCCACGATCTCACCATATCTTGGAAGCTAAAGCAGGGGGTTGGAACCTGGTTAGTATTTGCAAGGGAAAGTGCCTGGAGGCTTGGCGCTGCAAAACACGAGCGCTCCACCCACCTGGTCATGTTGACGCTCAGCCACTCCATCATCTCGGTGATTTCTCCGTAACCTGCAGATGTCCCACGCCACCACCCCCACAATGACTGCACGACGCTCGCATGCTCGGGCAGAGGACACGCGACGGTTCACGACAGTTCAAACAGTCACGATTCGATACACTGTGTAAACATTTTTTTTTCGTTCCTGGGTAGTGTTATTTCCTCATTGCATATGCCTCAAAAGTACAGAAAATGGCTATGATTCCCCACAAACGTTGCTTTTGTGACCAGGACAGTGATATTTAGAAATGTACCTATTTTCCAGAATATTCCAGATCGATTCAGTGCTGAGTAAACTTGGAGTAACTTCTAGAACATTATAGAACTTTCCAGTAATATAAATCGTTGTATAAATACAGGGGCCTTAAGCCCACCAGTTCAGTTTAGTTCCAGCTGCCTAAGTGGATACATATTTTAAATTTTTCTGAGATGGCATGAAGAGGCTGCAAGCATCTGGCAGACGCATTTTGCTATTCCTACGGCCAATATATCAAGACAAGAGTGAAAAAGTACTCTGTGGAAGCATCTGCTAAGATGTATGAGGCCTACAAGGCATATTTTGGCATGCCTGTCGGGAATCAAGACAAACCCTGGGCACCTCATTTCACCTGCGTGCAATGCAAACAAAACTCTGGAAGGTAAGAAGTATGACGAGCACGGCTGGAAGGTCATCGGAGACTTCAAAATGGTGGCATTCCTGATGGGTCTCCAAGGCGGTTTAACCAAATTTCCCTGCTATCGTTGCCTTTGGGACAGCAGGGACACCAAGGCGCACTACCACAGGCGGGACTGGCCACAGCGGACCGAGTTCTCTGTGGGGAGGAACAACGTCAAGTGGGAGCCACTGGTGGACCCCCGGATGGTGCTGATGCCACAACTGCACATCAAATTGGGCCTTATGAAACAATTTGTTAGAACTGTAGAAAAGGAGTCGGCAGCCTTCAAGTACCTTCAAGACTTCTTCCCTGAGCTTTCTGAGGCAAAGGTCAAAGCCGGTGTCTTCATCGGACCACAGATAAAGAAGATCCTGGAGTGCAATGAATTCCCCAAGAAGCTCACTAGTAAGGAGAAAGCGACTTGGAACAGCTTGGTCGCAGTGGTTCGTGGCTTCCTCTGGGCAATCACAAGGTCGAAAACTATGTGGAGCTGGTTGAGACTCTGGTGAAGAACTACGGCACAATGGGCTGTAGGATGTCCCTCAAAGTCCATATCCTTGATGCCCATCTTGATAAATTCAAGGAGAACATGGGAGCGTACTCGGAGGAGCAAGGCGAGCGCTTCCACCAGGATATGCTGGACTTTGAACGCCGCTACCAAGGACAGTATAACGAGAACATGATGGGAGACTACATTTGGGGGCTGATTCGTAAAAGTGACTTACAGTATTATCGTAAATCTCGAAAAACTACCCACTTCTTAATCTTTTGTAGTAGTTTTTGTATTACTTTAATATAAATACATGTTCATTTTGATTTATGTTGTTTTTTTCTGGCTTTACTGTGAACGACAAGACACAAATTCGCCCCTTTTCTAATTTAAAATAGGTAACTTTAAAAATATCACTGTCCTGGTCACAAAAGCAAAGCTTGTGCGGAATAATAGCCACTTTCTATACTTTTTTGGCATAAGCAATTACAAAATAACACTTCCTAGCCTGGAACAAAAAATTGTGTTACATAGTGATCGATTCCTTTTTGTCGTCTAGTTTTTACAATCTCGTTTGTAAGGTGTTGCTAGCTCCGTATCACCGAAACCAAGGCCGAGATGTAGCCGAATTCCTGGGAATCTCTCAAACCTCAACGTGACGAGCGTCGCGCCGATGCAACGGCCGAAGCACGACGTTTCGAGGGGCGACACACTTACTCGATAACATCTTCACGCAACCAAATGTCTGCCGTTTAGTTTTATCGAGCCAACTCGCACTGCTGCCCTCTAGGTATCATTATTTAATAATGGACATTTGGGAACACCCTGGCTATTTCACATCAACTTTCTCGGCTACGCCGAATTGTACGTTCGTAATAAATCTGTTCTCCCGGAATTGCAATGTTACGACTGCGTCAACAAACGGCGCATTCCTAAAGCACTACCGGGAGACTCCCGCTCCCTGCCCTTTGACCCAAAGGCCGATGGGTGCTGGGCAAAAAGACACGTGGAATATTTTATTTTCATCCACACTAACCACCTGGGGGGGGGGGGTCCCGGTTCTCTGCTCCAAATACTACTCCGTATACGATACTATGACCGCCACAGCTTCGTCGGGTCTACCCTCCATGAACTTATTACCGCTACAACTAATGAATTACACAGGCTTGAAAATAATTTGCACACCGATTTAGAATTTTTGTTGTTGTTGTTTAGCCTGAAATGTATTGAATTTCACAGGAGCCGACACAGGGCTCCCACCCCCTCCACTCCTCCTCCTCTTGAGAACGTCCAGTCCGACACACGGGCGGGCGCGTCGTCATCGCGAACCGCTAAGCAGACTCGAACACCGACGGAGTAGAGGAACGCTCGAGGGACCCCCCCCCCACCCCAGAGCCGCCAGAGGTTCCCGCCACGAGTCGTGTGCGTGTTTGGTGTGAGATAAGACGAGCGGCAAAGCGCGTACCTGGCAGGAACACGAGCACGCTGCCAAGCTCCTGAACGTCAGTCTGCAGGCTGCAACACAACGATAACGACTTGCAACGAGCGGACGCGGCGGTCTCCCCCAAACGCCGTGCGCGTGCAAGCTTACGCGTGCACTTACAAGTAGAAATACAATTCAACCAATTTGTCGCAAAATGTTTTTAAGGTCACGAAAAGAGAATTCCATTGTCGAAAGAGCATTTTAAAAACACTTTCAGGGAAACCCGTCGATTTTGCAGGAATTAATGTTTAATCGCGGGCAATGGCTTGGCTTGCGTTATCGAGGACAATTTGTGAACGGTATGGTAGAATGCTTATCAACCGCCAAGAGAATTGGGAGAAGAGACGCCGGGCCATCTACCAAGGACAGAGAACCGTAGCGACACCAGACACCACTGCAGTGCACGATAGCTGGCGCCAAACTGTGCCACACGCCATCCCGCATGGCTTGGTGGGAGTCTCGGTACCGATAAAGTTATTGTTTTATTTTTTTATTCCGATTCCGTTCTGATGACGTACATATACGTCACTGGAACACATGTGTACGTCATCAGAACGGAGAAAAACTATGACGTACACATACGTCATCGGAACGGGAAAGGGTTAACAATGCACCTGTCATGCGATATGTGGGGAAAGATGGTGGGGGAGCAGGGAGGAAAAGAGCGGAGGGGGGGGAGGTAAGGATGGGAGGATGTATTACAAAGCCAGGAATGTAACCCCCAACGTTCAAAACAGATCCATCTCCGTCGCACCACGTACTGCGTGTATGCCTCCATGTCATAAAAGCTCCTGATGAGCTTCTCTGTGATGGCGTAGCTCTCACGAGCGATGCTTGGGATGCACAGGTCGAAGATGACCGCCTGGCAACACGAACCCGCGATACGAACACGCGAGGTTAACGCACGCGGCAACGAACGCCTGGCGCGAACGCACGACAGGCGACACGAGCACGCGACACGAACAACGCACGGGCACGCGACACGAACATGATTCAGTTGCTGGAGAATCTCCCGGCACGTCGGACAAGCAGGTGCAACGGGTAAACGCAGCAGAGAGCTGCACGGGCATTTAAAATCAAACGCACTGGCGCAGCGTGCGGACCAAAATTTGAAGCGCATCAGAGCTGGCGTGTGAGAGCGTGGCGCCTTGTAAACCACCTGGGGTGGTCCCCCCCCCCGCCCCCGTTTATCGGGTCGACCTTTGCGGCGGTTGTTACTGTGCAAGGACGTGGCGGGACCAGTAAGCGGCTTGTAAGGCCGACGGCTCGCACGCAAAGGTCGGAGCGTTTAGCCCAGGCATCTCGGAGAGGTCTCGGGGACTGACGGCACAGCAACAACTCCCGATTGGACTGCTGCCACCGAAAAACACAAAGTCAAGGTCGACCCCCGTGCGCAAGCTGTCACTCACTCTGCCTGCAGCGAGTTTTAACCCTGGCCGAGCCATGCTGTGGCTTTTGCTGGGACAGCCGTGAACTCGAATGCAGTGGGCGTGCGGGGAGCGTTAGCGTGGTGGTTCGCGCACTGGCGCACCCAATTTCTATTTCCGCTCACGATATGTATGTATTTTGAACTTCTTTCGTGCCGTACGTAGCCAACCATGCTAATCGGAGGTGCGGGAGGGTAAGGACAACAAACTTAACAAAAAAAGCAGTTCGAAAGAAATTCGTTTTCAATGCAGATGTAAAAGTGCATAGCTCCAGTGGCTTAATAATATCAGAAGGAAAAATATTTGAACGGTTCTGAACCGCCAATAGGTTCGCGCCGACTTTAATACGAGTAGCTGGTGCGGCGTGTCAACATCAGCACTGGGAGACAAAGGTGGCCGGGTGTGATGTTAGCTACACCACACTTCGTGTGTTATGCCGGTCATAAGAAACGTCCACAAAAAGCACTTGAACGCAACAGTCTGTTAAGGCTATATGGGGGACATTTGTCATTGTAGTAAGAAAGTAACTACAGTATGTGTAGATTTACTAATTAAAATAGATTAATATCATATATTATTCAAAAACAAAGATCCCATGTATAGCCTTAACAGACTGTTGGGGCAAGTGCTGTTCGCGAGCACCTATGAAGGCCGGCACGGCACACAAAGGGTTGGGTGGCCAACACCAGGCCTGGCCGCCTTTGTCTCCCTAGTGGCAATGATTTTACACACAGGTACTTATCTGAACAGGCCCAGGACCTGATCAGATAATTAATGGTCACTGGTGTTGGGCATGAGCAGCACACTAAACCGCTACACTACCGCTCCCCACATAGTATTCATAAACACACACATTTATACAGGTGGTGAAATGCATTTTCATATTGGGACATTTCACGTTATGCTGTGGCACCTTCGATTAGCATGGTTGGCTACGTATGCCGCGAAAGAAGTTCGACAAACAAACATACAAGAGTGCTTGCCATGGGGAAATTATTTTAATGCAGCAAATGCACTTGTGAAAAGTCAATATGTGCCCATTCTTTTCCCCAACCTGCAATCAAATAATTTGTTGTTGCTAAAATAGGCACCTCCTGCCGACCATACTTGCCCATTACAATCCTCTCCTGTAGCACACAAAATGCAGCTTGGGGTGCTTTAAATGCAGCTTTTTCGTAAGCTCTAATTAATGCTTGTTAAAGCATTTAGCGAAGGCTTTTAAAATCCTCGTCTCAATTTGAAGCGCAATTTTAAACGGTGCAATTTTCCTGTCCATAACATTGATTTAATTTATACTTTCATTTCAATGTTGTGTGACATCTCACGATGCACAAAGCAACGTACTTGCTGCTTGTTCAAGTCACCGAGTAATCGGTAACTTGAATGAACTGCATATGCCAGGTTTCTTCATAATAGTTTCTAAATATCGAATAATTATACTCAATAACCAGTGACTTTGCTAATCATTAACAGACTAATTTAACACGAAGGCTTTCGCGGCCGACATTATTCGTGATACAATTAAAAACGAATTTCTTCTAAATTGAAAACTCATTTCACAAGAACAAAACATGAATAAAACATGTAAATGTGTTACTACCTTTGCACCACCGGTGTGTGTTAGAGCAAATTCTGAACATTTACAATGAGAAAGTTTCGCTGGAGATTACTACCAACTTGATCATGATTAATAGAGGCTGGGGAGACACAGCCCATGCCATCCCCTCTCACCTGGGCAGCCCAGTCTAGGAAGTGTCGGACACCTTGCCCAACAATCCGCAAAGCAACCCAGAAACACACTGGGGGAGCCGTGTACCAGTTAAGCAATGAGGAAAACCACCACCAACAAAATCTTACACTCTCTAGCGGTGTGACATTGGCTCGCTTGTGCCGTGTGGAGAAGAGGGAAGGAGGGGAAACAGGCCAGGAAGGAAGGCGGCCAATGGAGCCAGCGATGGAGCCAACTATGGAAGGACATGCAGGGGTGAGTGTCCGGTAATGGTTGGTGCCCTGACCTCGCCGAGAGAGATGGGCATGTCCTCCAGGTAGTGGACCTGCACCTCGTGGACTTTGTCTCGCACAAAAATCATGGGCGCCGGCTGTATCCGATCCATCAGCGGCATGGAGAAGTACGACGCAAACTCCTGGCAGTCGATGGTGGCTGACATGAGGATCACCTGCGGTTGGTGAGAAGGGCAGTGGGGGGGGGGGGCAGCCGGCGGGACAGGGACGAGTCATGAAGTCGTAACTTCAAATTGATTCTTACGCTTTACACGAGACGTCGAATCACGCGCGGGTAGAAAAAAAAACAACAAATATTTATGATTTACTGTGCAATCATCTTCTTCAGCGGCGCTCTAGCGCCAGGCCAGCGGGAAGAGAGCCAAGTGCCCTTGAGACACGTGGAGTCCCCCTAGCACCGCACCCCAACCCTAGTCAGGTGCCTGGCACTGCACAGGAGGCACCGCACCCCTAGTCAGCTACTCGGTGAGACGGCCACACACGAGGGACAGCCATGAAGGAGGCTGTAGCTCTGGTGTGGGCCAGTTTTCAGGGCAATGCGTGCCTTAGCACAGCATGTTTGTTTGTGTGTTTTACCACAAGCATGCGTGTGGTTTTTAATGCAGACCTGATGATGCCTCGTGATAGGTGTCTATTTGGTGTTTGGACATCTGAACACCTCTTGTATTCTTGCCGGGAAGGGTTAAAGCCGATTCATCATCTTGATACCGGCAAAAAGGGGTCCCCCCCTCATTTATAAAAAACTATCTTTACTAGCCGGCTTTGCCCAAGACCTGGATTCTTGTCTTGGATTAATACACGGCCTACGTGACATCAGCAGGCACACTGCGTGACGCTGCCGCATGCGGGTGACATCACAGATGTGACGTCACAGCTCGCTTTCCGTGCTAAATATATCCATTATTGCGCCCCACTCCCCCCCCCCCCCAAAAAAAAATACAAAAGTGTATTTTCATAATTTTTGCATGGTGTACAGTCTGGAAAGTACCCACATGGCAAATTTCCAGTTTGTTGCATGTCGGCAAGTACGCTAAACATTTGGAACAAACACACACATTCACAACTTTGCCTTTAACATATATGGAGATGATAGATCATGTTCCCTAGTCACACCTGCACCGACCAGTATGGAGTAGTATGGGCAACCTCCCATTGTGCATAGCTCTGTGCTCGATGAAACTGGCAATCAGAAATGGATTCTTGTCAATAGATCCTTGCCTCAACTGGAGATAGATCCGTACTTATTAGCACGGTTGGCTATGCCCGGTGCGAGATAAGTTAAATATCCATACATACATTGCCCATGCCTAAATTCAGTTGTGAGTGATATCTGAACTGGTCTTCGTACCCCCCCCCCCCCCGCTCATCACCACCCTTTCACCAACACGCAGTGACCAGTGTGGTGAAGTATGGTCAAACAACCCTCACGACCGACATGGCGTCGGCAGGAGGCCATCGACCATTGGCGGTTTGGGAATGGCTGGATATTTCATTTTTATTCCAATAACAATCAGAATTTTAACGATGTATTTATTTATTCGTAAACTCCTCTCGGAATCTCGAGACATTTCTCAGCAGAGTCCTGAAATGGAGCGATCGGCCAAAGTCAATAAATATTTGAAACATGGAAGGACGCAGAGGTGCCCGGACAAAACCCACCATGTACACAGGGGGACGATATTCTCAACGACCCACGCAGCAGGGCGAGGAACACAGTTGGCTTTACCGTCATCTCCTATGTGTGTGTACACGTATGACGAACTTCTTTCACACTGTACGGAGCCAACCGTGCTAATTGGAGGTGCGGGGAAAGGACAACCAACTAAAGACAAAGAGCAGTTGAAAAAAATAATATGAGTTTTCCATCTGGATTTAAAATGCATCACCCCAGTGGTTACCTAGTATCCTTCCAGACAGCGGCAGAAGCGCATCTGAAAGTGCTGGATGCAGTGACCAGCGTCTTTGTTCGTTTGTTTAGCCACAAGCCGCTGCTGCGAGGATGACCGGACTTGGCGTGATGGTTTACGCTCTTTGACGAGATCAGCGAGGTACTGTGGTTCATTTGTGGCAGCCCGGTGGGTGTGGAGCTTGACAAATTTACATGACCCACAAACCCTGGTTTCCACAACTCTCTGCATTATTACAGGCATGAACGTACCGGCAAACACAATCGGTAATATTTCACTCTAACTCCCTTTGGACTGTAACACCGGTTGGCTTGGAATACAAACAAAAAGTAAAAAAAAAATGATGATGAACACCGAGGTGTCAACGTTGCACGTTGCTTCATCGGTGTTTAAGTGTTAAATAGGGCTGCCAACCCTGGGCTGTGATAAAATAATGGGGAAAAAAGATCAGGGGCTTTGTTTAATCGCTGATAAGCACAAACATTTAATTCATCAGCCCAGGGGTTTTCCAATAATGCTCAGCAACAATTTTTTAATCGTGCCAAAATTGGACTGTTTTTTTTTACTAAAGAGTCCAAATCAACAAAGCGGAGGAGGAAACATTTATCTGGAACTTCCAATGGACTGACTGAGTAACTATCACTACCTTTGTGTGAATTAACAAACTCCAACATCGTCATCAGCCACGGTCAATCCACTGCTGGATGAAAACCTCCCCAGGACCTCGACACGTACTGATGTTATCGTTTAATCCCCTCCTTTATGCGGACGTGCTCTCTCAAGACGCGGGTTCCACCGCTTGGCTGCCACGCCCCTCACTATGTTTCACAGTCAGACATCATCCCTTATCGCGACGGACCCTGCACTCGTCAGCTTACTTTTTTTTTGGGAAATACATCGAACAAAACAATTAGCCGCTTAGCAGTGATTATATTTTTTTTCACCGACGGTACCTTCAAGCAGCAACCAAGTATTTTGTGCGCTAACGCACACAGCAATCGGCCCACTTTTTGCACAGTGCGCCTGTGATGGAAATGTGGAACGGCAACTCATTACCTGTTGTATAACAACTAATTCTGTCTTTTTGGAGTGCTGGGGGTAATTGAATAAGCAGTTCTCAATTCGCCACTGCACATGGACATTATTTTATTTTTTAATGAGTATGATTTAGCTGGCGACACCCAAAAGAACAAAAACCAGTCGAGAGTTTGAACATTTAAATTAAGGCTGCTGCCTAATGTCAGTCTGGCGATGCTGTGATTCCTAAACGGTTCAAATTTAAGGACAGGATCCTCACACTCCGGCAGTGATAAATGAGCCACCTTGTACACACCTTCACGGTTCTCGAATTTGTTCGTAGAAGTTTTCTCACAAGCAGGAGGAGGAAATCCGTTTCCTGGTCCCTTTCATGAACCTGTTCGTGTCGAAACAGAAAGATAAGAAAAACGTTCGGCTGCATTGTTTTGCCATTCAAAGAGAACAATAAAACATACCCAAAGTAGAAAATCGGGTCAACACTCTCAATTCTCCGTAAATATATAAATGGCGAAGTGGCGTTTCAGATATCTCATGCTGGAAGGAAGCTCCCTGCATGTGAAGAAAAACGTCGGGCATCGTGCCGAACGACCCGCGGTACACAACCCGAAAACACGACAAAGAGAGACATTTTAAAGTATTTTTTTAAACAAAAGAAAATCGGCTCTTTCTGAGACCAAAGTGACCGACACGTGTGTGCGAGTCTTAATGTGTCGCAGCCGGCTCGCGGGTACCTGGAAGTACCTACTCGGCCATCAATAACGGCTTCCCCAAGCCCGATTTTAACTAAACATATAGACAAAACAAGGCAACTTCAACAAAGGGCTGCCGCGCCCTCGGAGACCCACCAACGCACGCACCTCGTCGATGAAGACGTGCGTGAACTCCATCATGGACTTCTCGGCGATGAACTTGCGCAGCAGGATTCCCGTCGTCATGTAGACGAGTCGAGTGTCGTCGTTGGCCATTTTGTCAAGGCCCACCTGAGGCAGTGAGAAGACCGAAGGGGGGTGAGAGAGCCCCGACTTGCAACACCGGAGGGGTTTTACAATGGCACGGCATGGCACGCACGTTTGGCCAATAGGGACAATGCCGTCCACCAGCTGTGAATGCCGTCGCAGGCCTGATTCAATGTTTACGGTGTCATGAAGGTAGCGGCCTCGGGTGGCTGAAGGCGTCAAGTGAAGGCATTACGTAAAACAAAATATACACGTAAGAAATTAATATAACCTCACGCGCACGATGTGATGCATGCATTGCGATGGAATCTATTCGAATTGGTGAATCGATGCACACCCACAGGTCTAAGGGGTGGCTTCGTGCTGGAATTTAGTCATTTACATCAAGTAAACGTCACTTGAACTTATGTCAAGTGAAACAGATTCAAGCCTCAACTCCCACCCTATAGCCTTCACAGATTGAGACACAAGCAGTGTTAGCGAGCACCTATGAAGCCTGGCACGACACACGAGGGAGGTGTGGGTGGTCAGCACCACACCCGGCCGCCTTAGTCTCCCTGGTGGCGATGTTTACACACCACAACAGGTACTCCCTTCATGTTGAGTCGACCGAGGGGATGCCCGGTGTTTGCAGTGAGCGGGAATCGAACTCGGGTCGCGGATTTCATAAGCGCGGCGTGCTTCCCTGCTGCGCTCCCGCTCACCCCCACATGCACACACACACGTGCGATCTACGTGCGCACACGCACACACAGCCACGTACCTGGTAACCGACGATGCTGCCGAGCTCCCAGTTCCGGCTGCGGCTGACCCACGCGGCGACGCTGCGGGCCGCCAGCTTGCGCGGCTGTGTCACCACGATGTTGCAGTGCGCGCCGAGCTGCGCGTGCTGGTCCAGCACGTACTGAGGAATCTGCGTCGTCTTGCCACTGCCCGTCGAGCCCTGCACCACCAGCACCTGGTTGCTTTCGATCATCTGCAGGAGCTGGCGTCGGCAAGGAAGAGGAACCGTCGGGAATATAATAATGATAAACAGCCCACTGACTAACCACTTGTTCGATAAATAATAATTTCATTTTTTACAGCGCCATTCAAGCGAATAGCATCCCATAATGCTGTACATTAATTATAATGTACAGCGAGATGTTAGCTTCCCTGCCTGGAATGCAGGCACTGGCGGAGCCAGTGGGGGAGGGGGGGGGCACATGCCCCCCCAATGATCCAATCGAAATCCCTAATTTCGATCGGATCATTGGGGTTAATTAGTAATAAATCGGCATTTTGCGACCTCCACTGCCACTTTGTAGCATATTATTACGTGCCAGGGACTATGAGATGATAGGACAATAGTCTGAGTCCATAATTGGCAAAAAGTAACAGCAAAGCGGTTTTAAGTGACTCAGAAGTTGCGTGTACAGTACACGACTTCCCCGAAGGCATTCACCTTCAGCGAGCGCGATGCCAGTCACACAACGTGGTTCGAATTCGACCCACGATTGATGGCTGCGCCATTGCCGCACACGAGTCTAATAAAAAGCAAAGTCCTTACGTACTAACAACTCCTATCATTTTTCATTTCTGGAGGCAACCAATGATGTCTGTCGTGGCAGAGAATCAAACTCGGGATGCCGAATTCACTGCACCACCATTCAAGTAATTTAATAATGCCATAGGTTTTCCACAATTGGACAAGATGAAAATATGGTGTGCTTAAACGGTCACCACAATGTTGCAGTGCAACCAACTGACACTCAAAGCGATGGCAGTGATCGTGTTGGTGCGGCATGTGTATGTCTAAAATGCTGGACATATACTGGACTGCAAGGGTATTAGATGAAATGTTCCAGAATCAAGTTGTGGGAAGCTTCCAAGTGTGCTTATTTCACATCTGCGGATTTTTTTCTCTAGGTACCCTAGTCTCCTCCCACACCAAGTTCAACACTCATGAGTGGAATTGACCACATATCCAGAACATGACCCTTCAATGGATAACCAAAGAGGCATTAGATCACCGTATTGCCAAGATTACGATACGCTCCAAAAAAGTAAGATACACACCAAACGTGTGCTCAGTGTGAAAAACGCTAAACAAATCTGGTGACAATCACGCACGCCCACCGGATGACAAGATGCACCAACAAGATTCTGCTTTACAGTCCCGAGGGTAGGAGGGGGTGGGCAGTGTGTCATAATATGGCAAATACCGTATCATACATTTCTCAATGTATGTGCATATGTTGAACTTATTTCGCACCGTACTTATGAGGGGGACAACTGAACACACAAATCAGTTCTAAAGTAAATGAGTTTTCAATCGAGTAAAAATCGTCAAAGTGGAGTATTGCCTTCTGCGCACCTTCTCGCGGTGCTTGGCGATGGGCAGCTCCACGTCGTACGTGTGCTGGAAGTTGTAGAAGCGGTAGATGTCGCAACCCACCACGCGGCCCGCCTGAGACTCCGTGAAAGCAGAGCTCGCTTCCAAGCTCTCCAGCTCGAGATCGTAAATGCTGTCCAATGTCGTGACTGCACGCACGTGGGCAGAAGAACAACTGTCATTATTTACATCGCGCTTCCCATGCCCGGGGCGCTTTGTGGTTCCCTATGGCAGCGGCAATAGCTGCCTCTGGGGTGGCAGAGAAATAAGCCTGCTTTTCAAGTGCCTAATACATTTAATATGACGGGATTTATCTTGTGCAATCGTTGTTGACCGGGTTGAACCCATTAACTCACTACACTTGAGAACCGTGGTTTTTAAGCACAGGTGGAGGAACTGAACCCAAAATCTTAGCGGGGTCAGCTCAGTTTGTGCTAGCCATCTCTCTAGCACAAACTTAATGGATGCTTCTTTTTTCTTTTACTAATAAAGGCCATTTCCCCCGGCAGTTTTATCTCCACTCGTTTTATCGCCATCACATCATGAGACGAAGCATCTGCTCGGAACTCTCGCTGAGAGCAGCGGCGACCCGTGCTGTTAGGAGAATGGCCCGCGCAAGTGGATGTAACAGAACACTACTTCTGAGATTCCCTACCCCTCCTCCAAGTTGACCTCCAAGTTGACCTCCAGTTCAGGGGCTGACTACTCACCCGATTCAGCCAGCTCAGTGACGGACTCAGAGCCGCACTCGCTCTGCTCGTACACCTCTTGTTTGCTCTGCTGCTGCTGCTGCTTGATGTACTCGTGTGCCTGGTGCTGGTAGAAATCCTGCACGTAGTCTTCATTGCAGCCCTGCTCCCCCAACAGCGTAAGCTCCTGCTGCTGCTGCCGCCGCCGCCCAGCCAATTGACGAGGCTCCTCAGTTCTGCACACGGACATTAAGGAGGCAGGAGTTTTGTGCGCGAAATCCCAGAGCTCTTGGAACGTCGGGTGATCTCTCACCAGTGCGTGAACCAAAGGCAGTCAAAAAGGCGGACCAGTACGAGGACATTGCAAACACCACAGCATAAACAGCACACATGTTAGCGCATTCATTCACACGTAACCTTAAGACTTGCTACAAGTTCAAGTGTTCCTCTTCATTATACACAGGAATTAATTCCTTGCGTGGGTCACATTTAATTCTAGTCTTGGCGATGATGGCAATGTGAAATAAGTATTTTGTACAGATACAGCGTGCTATTTTATAACCTAAATTTAACTTATTATTTCTTTAAAAAAAATAGGATAATTTTTTGCGATGATTTGCTATTTTTTTCTTTCGCTTATTTGTTATTATTATTGATTCATTTTTACTGTGACTTGTGCGTATGTCGGAGAAGCGGCGGTGTAGTGTTGGTGTTGATGAAACCTGACGCAAGAGCTTCTTGGCTCACAGGGTAAATCAAAATAAACTTCGACTACGTTCAGGAATGAAACGCCAATGTCTGAGAGTCTGCAAGCCGCGAGAAGGCTTCGGGCGAGTTTTTAGTGTTGCTATTCCTCCTTTGAAGAAGCGGATACCACAGCAGTTTACTATGTGGTCCATAGTTTGCGTTACATGGGCACAAATCGCACCGTGGCTTCTCTTTAACTTGCCATTCACGCGTTTTCATGTTACCCTAAACACAACTGATACCGCCATCGAGGTGAATTGGACGTCGTTAATTCGAATGCAATTACTATCAGAACAGCTATAAACGGATCGCATTCATTGCACACTGCATGTAGGGATTTACGCGGAAGAAACTCGTGTACTCCTGGCAAAGGAAGGCACGAGAATAGAATGCGTTGCAATGTGGGTATGGCATTGGAGAACATCAGTTGGATGGATGTACGTGGTCAAGAGAGATGAAGCTCTTCCAGAGCAGGTTCAGGTGATTTGACAAATCCAGAAAATGATCAAATATGTAACGGTCCACACAGTATTAATTCACTCTCCCTACAGAGAACTACTCAGACGGCGCGAGGATGAACCACGGACAAGCAGGGCTGGCAGCAGCCACGCGATAGTCGGTGCCAACAATTTCCCAAGCTCTGCGGTCCCCTATATAATAAGCTCTTATCGGCCAATAGATATTTACATGTGGGAGGAAACCGGAGCACCTGGAGAAATGCAACGCATACGATGGGGAGACACTCTATCCCAGGGGTCGGCAACCTACGGCTCCGGAGCCGCATGCGGCTCTTTACGGGCTGCTTCTTGACGATATGTACGTATGTACAGTATGTACTCAGATGCATTGTGGCTCTTGAAATACTGAATTTTGTACCGAATTGGAAAGAAATGGCTCTTCTTGTTATTTTGGTTGCCGACCCCTGCTCTATCCCCATACAAACGGAACAAGTGGAGTTCCACAATTTGTTCGATTGTGCAGTCCATGGGGTTTCCAAACATTTGTGCAATCCACCAACCCTTGCGCCTCCACGTTGCTGCTATTACACGCGAGCTTAGCCACCAACGCTCGGCTGATGTGGATTTGGCACATGCTCGGGGGTGGTGAAAGCATGATAAAAGGAATTTCTGGATGTTGAGAAAGCATACCTGGTAATCCCATTTCAGTGCCCTACCTTATTACATACCAATTCACACCTGATTGGTCACCCTGTGCCCTTATAAATCGAAGCGTTCATTCTACAAAGTCCCATCACAAGGGAGAAACACAAATAGACAATATCTGTTTTGCCCGTATTGAAACGTCTGTACGCCGTTTGGACCTGAAAACCCAATTTCCACGTACAAGAATACGGGTTAAACCCTACGGGTTGACAGGTATGAGAAAGTCAGATACAAACAATCAGCTCAAGTGTTGTGCGTGAGTGTAAAAGGTGCGGGAAGTCCCTATTGAGTGTGGGAGGATCCCTAATCCTGGCCACCTTGATGAGTAGAGGATGACCCCCAGAGGTGTGGATGTGTCTCCTTTATAGTTCAGGTGTTGGTATTGAGGTCCTGATTCCCCAAGTCCTTCATAATATTCATAATACACGTTTTTCGGTTGGATCGCGTTATTTATGTGTCGTAACCCTCCACCACCCGACACGGCCAATTAGCAAAAAAAGTGTCACGTTCACTACTTTAGCCCACCGGTGTGTTGAAGAGTGAAACCACGACATCATTCAGTGATATACGGGAATTACGATTTACGAGTAAAATTATTCCAAAATTACTCCGGATTCTGAATGGTCTGGTACGGGAGAAGGACCATGGGGGGGGCGACCCCAACACGAATGACACCACTGGCTGCACGGCTTCCACGTTGTGAGGTTGTTTAGCGTCGTTACTTTTAGGGGGTCCCATATTGAAGTGATATTTCTCAGTGTATGATTGCACAGGTGCCCGTGTGTTATTGTACAGATCTTAAAAAACTATATTCGTACAGATATTGCTGTTTCTAACAGGCGCCCGTGTGAGAATGTAGCGGCCCTGTACGCATGTTGAGAGGACCCCAGTGTTAGTAGGCACGTGTCGTCCAGTATTAGTAGGCACGTGTCGTCCAGAGTTAGTAGGCACGTGTCGTCCAGTGTCAGTGTGCGTGTCGCCCAGTGTTGATAGGCACGTGTCGTCCAGTGTTAGTAGGCACGTGTCGTCCAGAGTTAGTAGGCACGTGTCGTCCAGTGTTAGTGTGCGTGTCGTCCAGTGTTAGTAGGCACGTGTCGTCCAGTGTTAGTAGGCACGTGTCGTCCAGTGTTAGTAGGCACGTGTCGTCCAGTGTTAGTGTGCGTGTCGTCCCGTGTTAGTGTGCGTGTCGCCCAGTGTTGATAGGCACGTGTCGCCCAGTGTTGATAGGCACGTGTCGCCCAATTAGCCCACAACCCAGCTCATCTCGTGCACGTACGACGGCAGGGGCCGCGCTGTAGACCACAGTCCTCCATTTCTGGCCGTAGCTTTCTCCGGCAGCACTCGAATGTTCTGCGGCTTCTTGTCGACGGTGAACCAATCGCACAGGTCCTGCACGCTCACTTCGGCTATCATAGGATTCATGATGAGAGTGGAGAAGAAAGCCCCCCCCAAATCTCCGGAGTTGGAACTCGGCCTGGTCGACGAGACTACGACCGCTCCAAGCCACGCGCTTCGCCCACCCAGCAAGCACGTGGCATCCGGCGTCGACGAGGACAGGGTTACATTACGTCATTGGCGGCGTGACGTCGACGGCGGTGTGACGTCATCGCCGCACACGGAATGTCATAGGAAACGTTCCGGAATGTGTCCCGCGCGTGACGTCATTCCACATGAGGCTCCCCCGCGTGACGTCACTCCACATGAGTTCCCCCCCCCGCGTGACGTCATTCTACTTGAGGCACACCCTCCCGCGTGACGTTGCTCCACATGAGGCTCACCCCCCCCCCCCGAGTGACGACACTTCACATGAAGCTCACCCCCCCGCGTGACGTCACTCCACATGAGGCTCCCCCCCGCGTGACGTCACTTCACATGAGGGCCCCCCGCGTGACGTCACTTCACATGAGCCCCCCCGCGTGACGTCACTCCACATGAGGCCCACCCCTCTCATTAATATTCATGAGTGGGTGGATTTTTACACGAACGCAGAAGGTCGAGCTAAATTAAATAATTTATTACGCAAAGTCGCTTCAAATATGACGTTTATTGACAAAAAGTGACGGTAACAAAATTATCTACGCAGCACAGTGCTACATTTGTGCGTGACGTCACTGCAAAAGAGCCCCCCCCCCCTCTTCATTAATATGCATGCACACGTGGAAATTTACACTGACGCACAAACAGGTCGCGCACTCCGCATGCCGCACCCCTCCCCAATCACCATGCGGGGGTGACGTCACTCCACATGCCGCACCCCTCCCCAATTACCATTAGCGGGTGACGTCACTCCGCATGCCGCACCCCTCCCCAATCACCATGCGGGGGTGACGTCACTCCACATGCCGCACCCCTCCACAATCACCATGCGGGGGTGACGTCACTCCACATGCCGCACCCCTCCACAATTACCATTAGCGGGTGACGTCACTCCACATGCCGCACCCCTCCCCAATAACAATTAGCGGGTGACGTCACTCCACATGGGGCAACCCCCTTCATTAATAATCATGAGCTGAACAATTTTTCTATCGAATGTTTTTCAGATGTACTGCAATATACACCCGTCATTGGACGGGCAAACTAGCTAGTTAAAAAATAAACACATAAATATGAAAACACATACATTTTTCACTTGCAATAGAAAAGTAATTGTATTTTTTTATTTGCTATACAGCCAAATAAAACGACAAATCGCTAACCTTAAACACCCAGTCGTTCATAAAAGTTGAAGGCGGTATAGTACTATAGTAACAGAGCAAGTGTAGAATCACTGATCCAGAATTGATAGTCTGAAAGTGCGGGGCCGAAGCTACATATGTAGCTACTTTTGCTACGAGAATAATCCGGCACTGTGGTCACGCCTGCCTAGTCTTTTGGGGTGGGACGGGTGACCAATGCGCTTACTGGTATCGTAGGCTAACTGGGGAGGGGATACGTGGTGGGTGGGCAGCAGAGAGGAAAAGCAAAACATCTATTCATCTTCTTGGTTCTTTCGGTAAAGTCACGTAGAAATAAAATAATAAAAATAAAACATAATAATTCTCACGACGTTTCGGCCACAACGCAAGCAGCCGTCTTCAGGTGGAGAACAGGTCTTCTTGACAGACCTGTTCTCCACCTGAAGACGGCTGCTTGCGTTGTTTAATTTTTATTATTTTATTTCTACGTGACTTTACCGAAAGAACCAAGAAGATGAATCCCTGCAGTCACGAAAGCTTTAAATCTAAAAATAAAACATATATTGTAAATGTTGTGGATTTGCTCTACCAACACACCGGTGGGCTGTTCCAGTAACGAATTGGCACGTTCTGTTTACGTGACAACCCTTACTAATTATCTGCGTCGGGTGCTGGCAGGTTTAACGACATTTATATTTACGCGATGTCACCCAAAAAAAACCTATTATGGACAAATAATGGACAAAATCTATTGTTCTGTGCTTCTATGCTCCAATACCCCCCCGCCACCACGGATGCATGCAAGTATGGTCACCCCCCACGACCCGCACGGCGTGGGGAGGCCCTCATCAAGCAGTGTATCGATAAGGCTGTGTCGTATCAATTTAGTATTCAATTAATTGACACCGTGGTGCTCGATGAGAATTACCTTTTAAAAATGTTTCCCGATTAAGTTTAATTTTAAATGGCATAGGAATAGTTTACCTATCACTCGCAATTGAATAACAGAAATAACCTTTAATAACCAAAAGAGCATTGCAGTACTAAAATAAACGCATTTTTGTTAAAATATAAAATGCTGATGGAAGAAAAATTGTATAATGGGAGCACCTGTTGTGGTGAGGGCAATATAACTTTATTCGCACAATCTAGTAGCTACCTATTTGTGCTTTTTTGAAAGAGTTTGCATTTTAACATTAGGGTTAACAAACCCGTCTGCGAAAATGGCAGCCTGAAATATTAATTAAACATGATGACAGACAGGCAACTTGACCGAGTATTCCCTTGGGGTGGCAAGGTTTGGCTGGGACGTGGGAGGGGAGATTGCGTGTTTGGAGTGGACATTCCGACGGGTTGTATGTACTGTGTGCGTGTTAAACTTCTTTCGCACCGTACACAGCCAACCGTGCCAATCGGAGGGATGTGGGGAAAAACGACAAGAAACTAAACACAAAAAAGCAGTCCCGAAGAAATGAGTCGTCAGCATCGATTTAAAAGTGAATCGCTTGCATCCTCAGAATTTAGATTTTTAGTGGAGGAATCCGATGAGCTATGAAGCAATTTTTCACAGATGTCCAGCAGTGTCACAGATGTCCAGCAGTTCCACAGAAATCGGAAGAAAGAGCGCTGCAGACGGCGCGTTCGATGGCCTGCCAAAAGCCGCTGCTGGGAAGAAATTAACGGAGCTCGCGTGATGGCTTATGCTTCTAAAACAAGCTCAACCCATAGTGTGCTTTGGTGGGGAGAGGGGGGTGGAACTGTGATGGACTAACGGGAGATTGCACAAGAGCATCCCGTGGTAGCATCAGAGACGCCCGTTGATTAAAGCGAACTGAGCACACCCCTCCGCTCTGTTGCCCCCTAACAGTGATTGATGAATGATTGATGAATGACGACGACGCGGATGACAAGCTAACACCCGGTCGCGTTGAGCACGACGTAAAAAAAAATTCTCCGACGTTTTGTTTTGCTCGTAAACCACGACATGAATCTTGTTTTATTTGCCGCATCCTTAATTAAACAGCCGTTCCACTAAATTTTGTTTTTACAATTTTTCTCTTTTTTTACGCAAACGGGCTTTAAAGCCAGGGATTGATTTCGGATTGTGAAAATGAGCTGCTCATGCAGCCTATTTCCACAAACGAGCTGTATAGAGTACTGTACCGTAATGTTTTATGATCCTGACAGTGGATTATTGTGCATTCACCAGAACTTATTTCACGTGATGGGAATATGTCTCGTCCTTGCCTGCTCCTGATCTGTCTGAATTATGCCCAAACCCAGCGAGAAGAGGTGAATAATGCTATATTTTAATGAACAACAACCGTTCTTCCATGGATGCCAGGCACTGGGAATTGGCTCCGAGGATGCCAATAAAGGTGTAGGGAGTGGTTGCGCAGTGGTGAGCTCACTGCGCTATGAACTCGGTGGGCTGAGTTTGATTCCTGGCCATGGCGAACATCTGAACCAGTCCCGGTCCCCACATACTTCACCAACCCGCGATGACCAGTCTATCCGCTGTGGGTTGACCTGTGATGTTGCAGTCCAGTGGTTGCCAAGTGAGAGTTTTGTTTTGAAGATTGCCACGACGTGCAACGTTTTAGGGTGAACTTTCGCCAGGTGGAATGAGACATCTTGTATGCCAATAGAGCTACTAGCGACGGGAACGAATACACGTGATGCAATAGTGAGTCAGGGATTGGACGCTTTCATCAATCATTCTTCAATAATTCAATAGCTGTGGCGATTTGAGAATAAAACACATTACTGTACTCGATTCTTATCTGCAGGGGGGTTTGAGCAATGTGGTGTTTGTGTGCGTGTGGGCTGATGCGGTGTCCTCATGGTTATTCTTTCAGGTACATGATGCTCCTTTTAGAGTTTATTGTTGCGTCATTTGCAGTTTCTGGAACGTCTATTCTTACTATGGAAATACGTCCAGGAAATCCATGCGGAAAAGGGGGAGAACATACAAAGGCAGCCGATTTGAGGATCGAACCCAGGTGCTTTTTGCTGTCAGGCACGTGGATTACCACAGTGCTACTGCCACCCATGTTAAAAACTCTGCGCCCCTGCAATCCAACCAAGCCCATGCCTTCACCATTGATATGGGACCAAATCCAACATTTCCATCTCACAAAACATGTACTTGTATTTCAAATTGCGTTTTGGTTAATCCTATAAACGGATTACTTTATTTTTGGAAATTGTGTTTTTATAGCTGACATGGGATTAATTTCCGTCGTTAATACTTTGAATCTTATATTTACACCGTTTATTCTAACATGTAATGTATCGTGATTTTATTTAATCCTGAGGTTTTTGTTGTTGTCAAGCCTTAAAATCCGTTTGCTGTTATAACATTTGCCGTTGTTATATTTGTGCATTTTAATTAGCTGCACTGGAACGTATTTTGCTGTCACGACGTTGCTCAACTATGTGTTCGTTCACTGTGCTGCACCCAGAAGCTGATTGCCCCTAGGATCCATGAATAGTTTCCCAGGTTTCCCTTGAAAAATATTTCTGGTCTCAACGGGCCCTTACCTTGTCTTAACTAACATGAATTGTGTTGCGCAGTATTGTCTAAAGCCGGCCTATCCGATTACTTAAGTAATGGATTACTCTTCGGATTATCGGTTAGGGAGGAGAGAGTCTCACCTCTGTGCCGCTGTACCGAAGGTGATGGGTGACATCAGCAATCATCAGCTGTTGCACCGGGCATGGCTTTTAAATGGTTTTCTGCCTTTGGTAGACAGAATGTCAGGATGGCCGCCAATTTTAAATAAATCCGAATAGTCGACCACAAAATATGACGAGTTGGTGATGATG